CCAGCTTCTTATCGATAAGACCCCACCCCACCAATCGGTTGCGTGTTCTCAGCCCGTCGTGCTAAAATGACGTCAATACCAAAATAGAGTAGCAGCCCACCTTCCCTGTGCCAGCGTCTGGCCAGTGACGGCGTTACTTTGACCAATTCAATCGCTGTTGGCCAATGTCGACCGAGGCTTTCCCTGCCACCGGTGCACCGAGCGCGGGGCAATCGTTCCTTTACGTTTTGTTTCCTGCAGCTCTCTGCCTTTTTTTCTTCCCAGCTCCATGCCAAAGAAATGACGGCCATACTCGACAAGAGAGATTGGGAGGAGGGGCGTCGAGCTTGGACGAGGTTGGGCCCTGACTCCTGGGGGTCCAGTGACTCCGTTCCAATGTCTAATCAAAACCCTGTTACAGCGCCAGCAGCAGTTCTCCCCCTGATCATCAATCAGAGAGCACGCGATCCCTTGCTGGGCTCCGAGCTGCGAGCTGCGATGTAGCTGCTAGTGTAGTCCATTGGTCCCAGCCACCAATTGGTACAGATACATACCTAGTTCCAATCCGCTGGCAGAGAGGCGCAAGACGCGCGGCTTTGCATACTGGGACAGCCTGTTGTACACTACATACGTCCTTGGTGTGTACGGGCACAGAGACAGACGGAGGCAAACCACCACCATGCCTCGGGATCATTCCTCTCCCAGCCCAGGCCTCTCCCAAGACAAATGCAGCGTTGAGCTTGGCTGGATTTAGCCTTGTCCCTGACGTCCCTGGCGGACCAGCAGGGGCCCAAATCTTGCATCCGGATCACCACAGGCACAAGGAGAGACCCGATGGAGTCGTTGGGTACGCTGGACAAGGGCCACGCCGGGTCCCAGACTCGAGTCGTCCGACCCAGAGGATCGTCAGATTTGCCCCGCCATGTCGTTACGTTACTGCCTAGGTGGTCGAGCAGCAAGCGAGGAGACGAGCTACCGTACTGTAATAGTAGTGTACAATGTTGCGCCCAGCTTAGCCCACAACCAGCAGCCGAGTCTTGTCCCGCGCCCGTCTCACCACCGCCAGCAAAACGTCGCGTCGTATCGAGTCGCATTCGATCCGGGCCCCAGTCCGTCCCGGCGTTGCGCCCACACCTTTTTTTTCGTTTTTCCCTCCGTCTCGTTCTTGGTCGCAATCCTGCTTCCGGCCAACCTGCCTTGTCTTGCCTTGCTGCTAGCCTCTTACGGATGACATAGCCTGGGTTTCAAGCTTTCCCATAAGCTTTTGTCCCGCGCCATTCCTCGTTGCCATTCTTCCGTCTCGTCTTGTCTTGTCTTTTCTTCTTGACCTTTTCCCTCTCACGCTGAAGATCCAACTTCGAGCTCGTCTTCCCCATCCGAGTTGCCGTTGTTGTTGCTGCCGCACACAGCTGGATCGCTTCGACCTGTTCTCTCCCCGCCATTCACTGTACTGTACCCCTCCCGTCCCGAGATACCCCTCCACACCAGATCAACCCACCATATTTTCATGACCTAGAGATACCACTTGAGACAGAGGCGGCTTGCGTAACTTCGATTCAATACCCCCATTCTCCCGCGTCCCCTTCCACACATCCGCAAGCATGGGGCTCATGACGACAAGTGACCATGGTCACAAGGAGCAGGAGAAGGAGAAGGAGGGCGGTAGCTTCATGGACAAGCTGAAGAAGCCCTTCCGCGAGCTCGAGGAGAAGCTCGACGGGACCCATCTGCATGACGCAAAAGTCCACATCGTGCACAAGAAGCACCAGATTGGAAAGCTCGCCAATCTCGTAAGCCGGCCCCTCCCCTTTGCCCATAGACAAGCACTGCTCGGCTCCTCCGCGGCCCGTGACCCAAGAGAACTGACTCTGACGTGCCCCTCAGTTCAACGCCAATCACCGCCATGACGAGGAGCACGAGAAGGCCACCGACGACAAGAGATCCAAGATCGCCGAGGAGCACCGCTTCAACTCCTTCTTCCCGGAGCGCGACGGCAACCTGATCAAGTGGTACGTCGATGGCCGAGACTACTTCTGGGCCGTCTCCGAGGCCCTCGAGGCCGCCAAGGAGACCATCTACATCTGCGACTGGTGGCTCTCGCCCGAACTGTTCCTGCGCCGCCCGCCCTACTTCAACCAAGAATGGCGGCTGGACCAGGTCCTGAAGCGCCGCGCCGAGGCCGGTGTCCAGATTTACATCATTGTGTACCGCGAGGTCGAGGCCGCGCTGACTTGCAACTCCACCCACACAAAGCATGCGCTGCAGGCGCTCTGCCCCGAGGGCTCGCCGGGCTACGGCAACATCAAGATTATGCGCCACCCCGACCACAACTTCATGTCAAACGGCGCCGATATGACCTTTTACTGGGCCCATCACGAAAAGTTCATTGTGATTGACTACGCCACCGCCTTCATCGGAGGTCTCGATCTCTGCTTCGGCCGCTGGGACAGCCACACTCACCCCCTGGCTGACGTGCACCCTGAAGGTGTCCAGAACGAGGTCTGGCCGGGCCAGGATTTCAACAACAACAGAATCATGGACTTCCAGAACGTCCAGGACTGGAAGCAGAACGAGCTGAGCAAGGCCGAGTTCGGTCGCATGCCCTGGCACGACGTGTCCATGGGTCTCATCGGACCGTGCGTCTACGACATTGCCGAACACTTTGTCCTGCGCTGGAACTTTGTGAAGCGCGACAAGTACAAGCGTGACGAGCGTTTCGACTGGCTCCAGCTGCGCGGCCGCCTGGGTGACGATGAGGACCTGGTTGGAGTCCAGCGCCCCAAGCACCCGGTGGGAGAATACATCACCCACCCGCTCGATGAGCGAAGCCTGCAGAACCTGGAGAACAAGGGGACAGTGCACGCCCAGATTGTGCGCTCCAGCGCCGACTGGTCCAGCGGTATCCTGACGGACCACTCGATCCAAAACGCCTACTCCGAGATCATCAGCAAGGCCGAGCACTTCGTCTACATTGAGAACCAGTTCTTCATCACGGCGACGGGCGATCAGCAGACGCCGATCCACAACACGATTGGACGTGCGATTGTTGACGCCGTCGTCCGGGCCGGCAAGGAGGGACGCAAGTTCCGCGTCATCATCCTCATCCCCGCCGTCCCCGGTTTCGCCGGCGACCTGCGAGACGACGCCGCCACGGGTACTCGAGCCATCATGGACTACCAGTACAAGTCAATCTGCCGTGGAGAGCACTCTATCTTTGAGCAGGTCAAGAAGGAGGGTGTAGATCCCAGAAAGCACATCTTTTTCTTCAACTTGCGATCGTATGACCGTCTGAACAAGACGACAGCCGTGGACAAGAGGGAAAAGGACACGGGTGTCAAGTACGCCGAGGTCCAGCGCGCGCAGGCCGAGGAGGTCATGGGCGGCGGCATCCACGGGTTGAAGGACCCCACCGGGAAGGAACGCGATGAGCACATGGGCGGCAAGGCAGAGCAGACCGGCCCGGGCAGGGAGGCGGCGGCGGCGGATGCGCTGGACGCGAAGCGGCGGTTCGAGGCCAGCCTCGGCGACAGCGAGCTCAAGGGCGAGTTTTCCGTCGCCCACCACGCCATGGCCAACTCGGGCAGCGTCGAGGACGAGCCATGGGACGACGAGGACCCCGAGACGGAGATCCGCAACTGGATCCAGGAGGAGCTCTACATCCACTCCAAGCTGCTCATCGTCGACGACCGCATCGTCGTGTGCGGCTCCAGCAACCTCAACGACCGCAGCCAGCTGGGCTACCACGACAGCGAGCTGAGCATCGTCATGGAGGACACGAAGCGCGTGCCCAGCACCATGGACGGCCAGCCGTACGAGGCCGGGTGGCACGCCACCTCGCTGCGCCGGTACCTGTGGCGCGAGCATCTCGGCCTGCTGCCCGCGCAGGACCTGGACGGGTCCAAGGACGACAACGCGCAGCCGCCGGGCCACTCGCCCAACGACCCGTGGGACCGCGACGAGTCGTGGAAGTTTGTCGAGGACCCCATGAGCGACGAGTTGTGGAATATGTGGACCGAGAACGCCACCAAGAACACGGAGCTGTACAGACACCTCTTCCACGCCGACCCCGATGACCACAGTAAGTATCTTTGTGATTATGTCGAACGAGGAGAAGGAAGCCAAGCTAACGCAATACCCCCCCAGTCAAAACCTTTGACGACTACGACAGATACCTGCCTCCCAAAGGCGTCAAGGCCGGCCACATTTTCGACCAGTTCATGCCCGCCGCCGACGCGCGCAAGAAGATTGACCAGATCAAGGGCCACCTCGTTTGGTTCCCGCTTGACTTTTTGAGGGACGCGGAGATGGCCGAGAAGGGACTGCAGGTGAACCAGATTACAGAGAGTATCTACACCTAAGTTTTGGTGCTTTTTTGGGAGGGGATAAATAGGTGGGCGGGACTAGAAGGAGACGAATCATTGGATAATGGCGGGGGCTCTCACGAAGTAACCTGGATTAATGTATTGATACCAAAAGGCGGCCGTCTGGCTGCTCATGCTCGCCGTGTGAGCGGGCGGTACTCGAAATGAAATTTTATTTATTTATTGCTTATACGAATATTGCATACATTCTCGACCGATATTGCCGGTGTTCCTGATGATACCGCGACTGAGTAGTATGTGAATGACGGTTGGTGTTAATAACTGCGACTTCTGTCTGTTTCTTATCGGCAACGGTCGTCTGCCGATGATGGTTCAAGTCAGACAGGCAAGATGTTGATCCAGATCGCTCAAGATCTCATGCGACCTTCACCGAGCTGTCACCGAGAATGTATCGGTGGCTGCGGGGTAGCGGGGTACACACCGAGATTAGCCGCCCCGTGTACTGGTTGCACCCCTCACCCCTCCATTGACTCACCTTTTTCGGGAAATTTGGCCAGACAAGCTCCGTGCCACTCGAAACCGTCGTCCAGTCCAGTCCCTCCCCCGTACTTCTCGAATCCACACTGCTCTCGCGGCCACGACTTCCTCCCCTCATCCCTCGTCGCCCATACACCCGTTACGACCGCGATCCAAGAGACAATGGCCTCCGCACCCGAAGCCCCGACCGCCGCCGTCCCCACCGAAGCTGTCGGCGACGCGCCCGCCTCGTCTGGCGGCCAGAAGGTCGACCCCTGGAACGTGTCTGGAGAGGTGGGTTAATTCGAATTGGTGCCTGGGCCCTGGAGTCATGAACTGACTGGAGTGGACAGGTTGGCGCGGATGGCAAGGTCAAGGCGATTGACTACAAGGTACGACCTCCCACCCGTCGCGTTGCGACGAAGATTGTCAGAGCTGACGGGCGGCGCCGTGATAGAAAATCGTGGACGAGTTCGGAACGAAGCTGATCGACGATGCCCTCCTGGAGCGCTTCGAGCGCGTGACCGGCCACAAGCCGCACCACTTCCTCCGCCGCCAGATCGTCTTCTCCCACCGCGACCTCGACCTCATCCTCGACCGCGTCGAGAAGAAGGAGCCCTTCTTCATTTACACTGGTGCGTGGGCCCGGGGGAATGCTGCAGTCCAAGACGTACTGGGAAGAGCAATGTTATGGGGCAATGGACTGACGAGGATGTTGTGCAGGACGCGGGCCGAGTTCCGACAGCATGCACATTGGCCACGTTATTCCCTTCCAGCTGACAAAGTGGTTGTCTGACGTACTCGATGCGCCGCTGGTGGTATGTGTGCCCAGATTTGTTGCTTCGAAACAGTTTTACTGACCAGACCGTAGATCATGATGACCGATGGTAAGACACCCAAGACGTCCCGTTGAGGCTATGACTCACACGCTGTCAAGACGAAAAGTTCTTGTTCTCCGAGAAGAGGACGGTCGAGGAGGTCCAGCACTACACGAGAGAGAACGCCAAGGACATGTGAGTGTGACGCTGCTGCATGCCGGGAGGCTCGCTGACGACTCGCAGCATTGCCATTGGCTTCAACCCTGAGAGGACCTTCATCTTCTCCGACTACGACTTTATGGGCGGTGCTTTCTACAAGTGGGCTTCACCCCTGAACCGCAGCTGCAAGTGAAAGACTGACCCCCCTAAAGGAACATTACCCGTGTGGCCAAGAGAATCACCGTCAACACGGCCAAGGCCGTCTTTGGCTTCGACGACAGCTCCAACATTGGCAAAGTCCACTTTGCCAGTATCCAGGCCAGCTCGGCCTTTGCCAACTCTTTCCCCCACATCTTTGGCGAGGACGAGAAGAGGACTACCCAGATCCCGTGCCTCATCCCTTGTGCCATTGACCAGGGTTAGCATCTTCTGCACCTGTGCCCCTTCCATTGTATGGGTCGACTGACGCCAGATAGACCCGTACTTCCGTGTGACGAGAGATTGCGCCGCCGGCCTGCGCTACGCCAAGCCCTCGCTGATTCACTCCCGCTTCCTCGATGCCCTGCAGGGCCCCGGCTCCAAGATGTCTGCTTCGATCGAGTCGAGTGCCATCTTCATGAAGGATACGCCTAAGCAGATCCAGAACAAGATGAACAAGTACGCCTTCAGCGGTGGCAAGGTCACGGCCGAGGAGCAGCGCGCCGAGGGCGCCGACCCCGATGGTATGAAACTGCGTCTCGAGCAGTCACCCCGCTTTGCGTGACGGAGCTAACCGCGTTGCAGTCGACGTCAGCTACCAGTACCTCCGCTTCTTCCTCGAGGACGACGAGGAGCTCGCCAAGATCCGCGAGGACTACCGCACAGGAAAGATGCTCACCGGCGAGATCAAGAAGAGGTCGGTTCGGTCCCTACCAACACCAACCCCCCCCCTCCGGCGGCATGAGCACGATGGCGCTAACGAGTTTGCAGGTGCGCCGAGGAGCTGGCTAAGTACTGCACCGCCTTCCAGGAGCGGCGAGCCAAGGTCGACGAGAGCACCGTCGACCTGTTCATGGCCCGCCGGCCGCTGGTCTGGGGCGGCTCCGAGACCCTCAAGTCCCTGCCGATCCGCGAGGACAAGGCCGCGGCCGGCGGCGAGGGCGAGGGCGGCGACGGCAAGATGACCAAGAACCAGCTCAAGAAGCTGGAGAAGCAGCGCCAGATTGAGGAGAAGAAGGCCGCCAAGGCCAAGGAGAAGGAGGCCGCCAAGGCGGCTGCTGGAGATGCGTAGACGACGAAAAAGGAGAAACGAAATATACCCAAGATTTGTTGAAATTATGGGACTTGTTGCGGTTGTGTTCAAGTGATTTGAATTGAACTGAATTTCGGAATGGTCTCGACTATATTCCATCACAGGCTGACAACGAGGAGGTGGGTATCCGGCCTTCACTGCTGACGGACCGGGCCACGCGAACGCTCCACAGTATTTCCGCCTCTTCCCATCCTCATTCAAGGGCAAAGGGCTATTAGTACATCGCCCACCCCCGCTGGCGCTGATGACCTGCCCGCTCACCCACGAGCTCTCGGGGCTCGCAAGCCACAACACGACCCGCGCGACCTCCTCCACCGTGCCGACCCTGTTCTGCACCGGCGTGTGCCTCTTCTGCATCTCCACCAGCTCCTTGGGGATGTTGTCGAGCATGTCGCTCTGCACGGGGCCGGGGGCGACGCAGTTGACCGTCGTGCCGCTGCGGCCGAGCTCCCTGGCCCAGACGCGCGTCAGGCCCTCCAGCGCCGCCTTGGACGAGCAGTACAGCCCGAGCCCCGGGAACCCCTGGCGGCCGCCGACGGAGCCGATGTTGATGATGCGAGCGTCGGAGGGCGCGAGGCGCGGGAGGAGGGCCTGGGTGAGCAGCAGTGGCGCGCGCACGTTGACGTCGTAGACCTTTGCGAAGTCGGCGGCGGAAATGGCGCCCAGGGGCGCGTTAACCTCCGTGCCGGCGTTGTTGACGAGGATGTCGACGCGGGCGGCGGGCCGAGCCAGGCGTCCAAGGCGGAGAGGACCGCCGACGGGGCGGCCTCGGAGGAGAGGTCCGCTTTGCAGGAGACCGCGGAGGGCTTGTGGGGGAGAGAGGTGATTTGGGAGATGAGGGCGTCGACCTTGGAGGCGCTTGAGTCGGAGGTGTAGAGGAGCATTACCTGGCTGGTGTTAGTGCGGGGTTGTAGGAGAGAGTTGAGAAGATTGGGGGCTCACGGATGCGCCGTTGCGGGCGAGCTCGAGGGCCATGCCGGCGCCGAGGCCGCGGGAGGCTCCGGTAACGATTGCTGTCTTGCCTTCGAGGGGCGCCATGGTGTTGTGGTGTAGAGTGATGGTGATGGAGGTTGGGTGGATGATGCGAGGATGGTGTTCAAGAGCGGTGAGATGTCTCGAATGGCACGGTTGTCTATGAGGAAGCGCGAGTGTGACTCTGTGAATTGAGGCGCAATGAGGTCCAGAGCCTCGCTGTCTTATACTTGCGGCGTCGCGGCATGTGAGTCGGCGTCGCGGCATGTGAGTCGGCGCCCCGGGCCGTGGCCGTCTTACATCGGCGATCGGGGCGCCGCACCCCCGACTTTGCTTAACACCGATCGGCGCTCCTAAGCTCCTACGCCCTTTCTCGTCGGGCGGGGAAGAATGAGGATGCTGACCGTCTTCGAGGCTTCGCCAAGGGTGAAAGCGGCTTGCCAAGCTTGCTTGCGGATCTTTTTCGACTTCGAGCTGATCCTGCGGCTGACTGCTATGACGTAAAGGTGCATTCCGGTGCATGTTTGAGCTGGACAGGTCCTGAGTTTCCCGAAATGTTCCTTGTGAATCCGCACAAAGGGAATACTCGGGATGTAACAAATGAAGCCAAACGCTACGGTAGGCGAGATCTCAAGAACGGGCGTAGGCGCTGTTCGGAATGGGTGTTGATGTGGAGACTAGCTGTTGTTAGATGGATACGCGTTGTCGTCAAAACTCTATGGATGCGGCTCTTTTGCGAGAAGATATTTCTACTACTTCTACGACGCTGAACGAGACAAAGTTGACATTGTCGACACATGATACCTGTTTTGACTCGATGTATCGTGGTCGGACGGTGCGTTGGATATGAGCGACTTGAAAAGTCCATTATTGACCTTGGTTGAAGTTCATCGAGTAACCTCCCGTCTTCTCGTCCTTGACCATCTGGAAGTTGTCCGTACTCAGACCGAAAGGTTTGAGGATTCCATTGCCCAACTATAGCCACACGTTAGCCGCCGGGAACATCAAAAACACGTCGCAGCCGTTCAACTCACGTCCTTCAGCTTCCCCCACATCTCGGCAGTCTCCTTCTCCTGCGCAGCCTTGGTCCGGGCCGGTAGCACACGCAGCTGCGTCTGCACAATCTTGCGGTCCGCGGGCGCCAGGTTCGTCATCTGGGAGAGCGTCTTGTAGTCCTCCTCTGCGCCGGCGAGGTTCTGCCAGCCACCCTCCTCGCTCCGCGCCCTCGCCCTGCGCATCAGCGCCTTAGCCCGGATCCTCAGCACGTCGTCCTTGCGCTTCCGGCGCGCCGCCTCCTCGGGGTCGTCCTCGGGCGCCGGTGCGGGTGCGGCCTTGCTAGCGCCGGAGCTGATGATTTCGTCCTCGACGTCCTCTTCCTCGGCCTTTTCCTTCTCGCGGCGCTCTTGCTCGAGGGCGGCCTCCTTCTCGATACGATCCAGGCCGTCGATGGCGGCGGTTGCGCTCGAGATGGCCTCCTTCCACTGCTCCAGCTTTAGGTGGCAGGCGGAGATGTTGGAGCGCAGGACGGCGAGCTCGTAGTCAAGGTAGTTGGGGCAGGCGGCGACGGCCTGATCATACATGGTGATGGCCTCTTCATACTTTGATGAGGAGAAGAGAGCGTTCGCCTCGGATTTGCTTGCGTTGGACTCGGCCAACAGGGACTAGAGAATGTCAGTCAGAGTTCTTGCACACTGATCATATTTGTGTCTTGTTCTCATCTCGTGGGTTGACCAACTTGGCCCACCGGATGCTGACGACATTCATCATGCTTCCGAATACACCCCAAGCTCAAATTTCGCCGACCAATGTTCTTCTACTGAAGACAACGGAATGAGACGTTGAGAAATAAGAACCCTTACCGCCTCTTCTTCAGGTGAGAACTTCTCCTGGACCTGTTCCTCGGCCTCGTCTTCTTTGACCGACTTGTCCTTGCCTTTGCCCTGAGGATCTTTCTCAGCCTCCTTGGACGCCATCTTTGAGACTGGTCGGGTGTCAGTACGGTTGGGTGATGGCTGACAGCAAAAATGTGAGTCGGAGTGGACAAACGAGGCGATGAAGATGTCGTCACTGTCTTGTACCCACGTGGATTGGCTTAGTGGGACGTTGAGGCTGTTCACATGTTTTGGGGTGATCGAAGCCACTAGCAACCGCCAGTGGGGGGTTGTTCTGGAACCCCAGCGGCTTGAACCCCCTGTAGAACCTGCATTTCGGGGTCTTTGAGTGCCTACGCAGCATCCCTGAAATCCAATCAAACCGTCAGGAAAGAGAGCATGCACCGTGTGCGCCATGGAATTTGCGATATACCCCCAAAATGTTCAGAATCTAGCAGTGCAAATCTGCTAAGAAACGTCTTCTGGCAGATAGAAACTTGTATAGTTCGGGATGGCCTAACTGTCGTGTTCTGCATCTTCATCTAGGAACACACATTGTTTTCTTGAAAAATGCCGTATAAGCTTTGTCCCGTGGGAATTCAGTAGCTGGATTTCATTTGGTACTGTATACATGCCGTTGCCCCACTTCCCCGTCCTTGAGCCAATTTTTTTCGGGCAAGAGCTGAGCGACCCCTCCATCCAGTGTCGCATTGCCCATCGGTGGCTTCCGCTTCCGCTTTCACCCCGCCGGTCCTGCCTGCCGCTGTGCTCGCCGTGTCGCCTAGGCTCCCATTGCTCCTTCCCTTCCTTCTCTCAATCCACCTTTGTGACTCTTTCCCAAGAAGGAACAGAACGGTTCACTTGAAAAGTCCTCGAGAACCTGGAGCTTGCTCACTTTTTCCCCTACCATACCCAACCAAGGAATCTTCTTCCTCAAATCCCACTTCAGCCTTTCCGACTTCCCTTCCCTCTCTGTTTGGACACTACCTCCTTCAGAAAACACACTCGACTTTCGTCGTTCTTTTGACTGCGCCCAATTACCCAAGAACCTTACTCAAGTCTTCGCCTCTCCCACTTTCACAATGTCTCCTCGTACCGAGTAAGTAGCAAAGAGCCTCCGTCCCTCGTCCCATGCCAATTGGCTGACCATGCGCTCTTCAGCTTCCCTCCCGTCCGTGCCTGTCTCTTTGACATGGACGGCCTCCTTCTCGACACGGAAGACCTCTACACCGCTTGCATCAACACCATCCTCGAGCAGTACGGCCGCCCCCTTCTTCCCTGGAGCATCAAGGCCAAGCTTCAGGGTCGCCCCGGTCCTGAGTCCACTCGCATCTTCCGGGAGTGGGCGCAGCTCCCCATCGACCAAGACGAGTATCAAGAGAAGCTCTCCGCCCTTCAGCGCAAGCTCTTTCCCACCACCCAGCCCCTCCCGGGCGTCCCCGAGCTCCTCCAGAACCTCGGCCGCACTCGCTACTGGGACCTGAAGCACGCTGACGCCGCCGCCGCCGCCGGCAAGAACCCCCACCGCGTCCACATCGCCCTGGCCACCTCCTCCCATGAAGCCAACTTCAAGCTCAAGTCGGACCACTTGACCGAGCTCTTCTCCGTCTTCCCCTCTCAGCGTCGCGTCCTCGGCGACGACAAGCGCATCGCCGCCGGCCGCGGCAAGCCCAACCCGGACATCTTCTTGCTCGCCCTCAAGACCATCAACGAGTCCCTTGCCGACGGTGAGAAGCCCATCACCCCCGAGGAGTGCCTCGTCTTCGAGGACTCGGTCCCCGGCGTCGAGGCCGGCCGCCGCGCCGGCATGCGCGTCATCTGGTGCCCCCACACAATGCTGCTTAAGGAGTACGCCAGCCGCGAGAAGGAGGTCCTTGCTGGTCGCACCGGCGAGGCTGGTCAGGTCGACATGCACCAGGTCGGCGAGATTGACGACGGCTGGGCCGAGTATCTGTCCACCCTCGAGGACTTCCCCTACGAGAAGTTCGGCATGACTATCCCCCCTATCGCGGTGGACAACGAGCCCTTCATGAAGGAGAACGTTGGCGATGTTCTCGTCGACAAGACCAACGGCTCGTCTTGAATATCTTGAAAAGAGAGATATTGGGTAGCTGACCTGGTGTTATTCGAGTTGGTTGCTTCTTTCTTGAGGACTCTTTTTTGCGCTGGGCGATATCACGAGAGCGGCAATAGACGAAATAAGGATTTCACGACGACTGATGAATGGATGGACGGGATCATAGAAGATGATTTTGAGAGAAAAACCTACACATAGAGCGAATGTCTGATGCGGACGACACGCTTGACTTTTGCTTCTGGGCATTGGCATTGCGATAGATTCCCGGGATAGAGAATGCAGACACAAGCAGAACAGAACCAAAAAGATGATACCAATTAATGCGCACAAGGCATTGTCTCTCTCTCTCCTATTGCGACGATCAAAGATGACAACGACAGAATTGAGTGCGGCCACGATAGAATAACGTAAATATCTCATGGTATCGGTGCCCTTCGCAGAGCGTTGGCTTCTCGAGCCTCCCAAATGCTAGAGCAGGTCCATGGCTGCCACTGATCCCCTTCCCTCCGTTACCAAGTGCCAAGAAAACATAAACAAAACCCAAGAAAGAAAAAAGAAACGCCGAAAAGTCCATGTCCAACTCCTCCAGCAATGCGGCCCAAAGACCAAGGAGCCCTTCCCACCTTCGACGCGATGCTTTGCCGGCCGTCCTGTAGAGCCGAAGTCCATCCCCCTGTACCCGTATAATCCTGTAATAACGATGCAAAGAGTACACAGTTTTTTTTAAAATAAATAAAAATTGAAAAAAAACTCGACGGAAGAAAGGGGGTCGTAATCGTAAGGCGGCAAACCAGTGCCGTTTCTTTTTCTTTTTCGTCATCCGCGATGCTGAAAAGGACGATCCACCTCCGGTATCGAGAAAAAAGGTTATTACATATAGACCATAGGTCGTAGGAAAAAAAGTAAGTCGGGATGAGAAGGTGCAGCCAGGAAGTAGCTGCGGGGCGCCGAAGCACCGGAGGAGTATCATAGGAAGCTCTGCGAGCTGTACGAGTTATTGCGGTTGGGCGGCTCGTACCAGTTCTGGTACGGGTGGTTCGGCAGGCTAAAGTCAGCAAACGACAGCGGGTTGACGAGCGCCTTCATGGGCGCCGACGACGCGGCGCTTGAGCCCGGGGCCGAGGCGGTCGACGTCGCCATGGCGGGAGGGTTCCCGGGGGGGCCGGACCTCCCGTACCCGACCGAGCCCCTGTGGTCGCCAGGAGTGTTGGCGTGGGAGGGCGCCGGGCTGGGCCAGCCCCAGGCCTTCTTGAGCTCGCCGTGGATCTTGCCGAGACGCCAGCCGCTCTCGGCATGGATCTTATCGAGGATCTCGAGGACCTCCTCCTGCTCGCGCGGGTCGGTGAGGACGGCCGAGGCGATGGCGAGAGAGCGGATCGCGACGGAGGCGACACCGCGGTCCTTTGTGTGCGCGACGATGCCGCAGACCTGGTGCGCGTGGTGCAGCTGCAGGGCGCGCATCTCCTCCGAGGCCTTGCCCGGCTCCATGGGGTTGGTCTGGGCGAGGAGGCACTGGGCCGTGTGGTAGAAGAGGCGGCCGATGATGGCGGCGCGCTTGATGAGCCTGCGTGCGCTGTTAGCTACTCGGTGCGGGAAGAAGCGGTGGGGAGAAGGAACCTACCAAACGTTGGGGAAGGCCGACTTGGAGCTCGTCTGCGAGGGGTAGAGGTAGCCAAAGGGGTGCATCGTCCTCGGGCACGCATTGTTCCACTTGTCGCACAGCCTCTTGAGGTCCTGCCACTGCGCGAGCCGGTTGCCGAGGCGGATCTGCTCGTCGTGCGGGCTCGGCTCCTGGAACCGCGGGATCGTGGCGCGGAAGTTGGCAATCTTGGCGACGATGTACAGGATCCGATGCACCCACAACTCCTCCTGGCCGAAGCCGTCTCCCGACGCCGACCTCGCGGCAGCGGCGGCGGCTGCGCCGTCGGCTGCGAAGTCCATGTCCAGGCCCCACTGGTCCGGGTCCCACGACGTCTGCCAGTTGAACGCCAGGCAGGACAGCACCTCCATGCCAATGTTGAGCCAGAAGCACGCGGCGCCGATGCCGGACGACTTGGCGTCCCACTTGCACTCGCGGATGAGCGCGCGGGCGCCGGCGATGTGGTTCATGCGCTGGGCGGGCTTCTCGGACATGATCTCGTAGACGTTGAGGACGACGGCGGTGGTGGCGCACTCGCCCGTGTTACGGTCCGGGTTTTGCAGGCTGCGGAGGAGCTGGGTCGTGGCAGTGTCGTAGTAGAAGAGGGCCTTGTCGTCCTGGTAGGCCGGGTTGATGAGGGTGAGGTGCTTGACGCCGCAGGCGAGGAAGGCGTTGAGCAGCATGGGCGACTTGAGGGAGTGGTAGGGGATGAGGCGGGAGAAGTGCTTTTCCTTATCGAGCGAGTCCATCCACACACCGACCTCTTCGACGAAGACCTGCATGTACAGGATCTCCTCGGGCGAGTTGAGGTACTCTCTCTCCCCGGCCGCGGCCTTCTCGCTCGGCGGCGGGGTCATCATGCCGTCGGGAGCAAGGGGGTTGTTGGCGGCGGCGCTGCTGCGGTAACTCGGGGGCGGCGCCGTAGGCTGCGGCACGATGGATGCCGCGCTCGATGCGTCGCTGTCGCGATGGCCCTGGTGGCGAGGGCCGCCGTCGCGATAGGAAGCGAAGTGATCGTGCATGCCGTAAGGGTGAGGTCCCGGGTGGGCAGAGTTCTGGGGGTAAGGTAGGGGTTGTCGCTCTCGCGACGTGGGTACGCCGACTCGACGGTTCGCGGAGGCTCATAGCGGTGCGAATAGCTGTACATCGGCGGCGGTGGCGGGTGGTGGAGGAGGTGAGTCCGTGGTGACACTGATGCATCCGGGCCGCTTGCGCGTGCGTGAGGGAGCAGGTGGCCTTGGTGACGGAGGGTTGGCTCAAGATGGCTCGTATGCCGAGGGGGTCCGGCGGCGGCGGCGGCAGCGGCGGCGGCAGCGGCGGCGGCTTGCTTATCTAGGTGAGCGTAGCGGCCAAGGCCTCCGACGTACTCTGAAGCGATCTGCCTCGATTCGTCTTGGAATTGGACTGACAGTTGCGTTAGCATCGACGAAAGCTTTGGACTGCTGCAGACTGGCAACCCACCTGACCACTCGACGGTGGGCGGCATATATGGCGGTTTCTTGACCTGTATATCTATAAAGTTTAGCCGCACGCCGCGTTTGCACTCTCGACTGCTTTTCCTGCAATTTAGGCAATCTGGTAACCCTTCGTCGCATTTTAGATGCCGTTCTCTACACGTTAGACACCCCGTCCGCACTCGTTTTGATTTAGTGGCGGTCCCGGCGGCGGCAGCGGCCGACTTCTCTGGGGACTTGAGCTTTACGAGGAGGTCGCGCGACGGGGTGAGTGAGTGAACGCTCGCGCTGCGGCGGGGCGGGATGTGGGAGCTGGGCAAGTTCATGTTGCCGGTTTGGTAGTGCTGCTGCTGGTAGGCTTGCTGCTGGTGATGAAGGCCGTGCTTGAGATACGGGCTCGAGGCGTGGGATTCCGGGTTGGACGCAGCGGAATCGGCGTCGGGGCCGAGAGCGAAGTCTGGGGTGAAGTCGGAGGAGAAGCCAAAGGAGAGGGATGAGACCTGGTCGTCGTCGTCGTCGTCGACACCTAGATAGGGATCGTGAACGAAGTCGAGGGGCGGATGCTCGTAAGGTTGCAGCACCGCCGAACCAAGGCCAAAGCCTGGCACGAGGACGCCTGCAGAGGCGTCGTATGCCTCCAGGGCTACCGAAAATCCGTCTCTGGTGGATAGAGACGGAGAGGGGGGTTCAATGGGGGCTAGGAACACCCGGTTGGCGCGATTGAGGCTGTGGCGCGGGTGTTGTCGTGGGCTTGAACCTGTGGTGCGAGCGGCGGCGGGATATCGGTCGTCGGGGGTTGGCGCTCTCTCACGGTGAGAAGTGAAAGAGATCGCGGGGGAAGTTGAGTGAGCTGGTAGCGAGCTCAAATGTACGGGACTTCCCTTCTATTAAAAGAGTGGTGGCTCAGAAGGGGCGTTCTCGGGTTGTGGAAGGTCTGAAACCGGAGACTTGTGAAGTCAATGGTGCGATGCAGCAACGTTCGACGTCGGTAGAGGTCGGTGAGGGGTGAGCGAGCGAGTGAGTGAGGGCAGGGAGAGAGCGGTTTTGTGAGTTGAAAAGTCGAGATGCAAAAGACACAAGCTCGCCTCTCGAAAGGATGGATTTGACTTGACTAGCGCAAAAGATGGCGAAGCGTGAAGAGTGGTCCCCTCTGTACACACTACACTACCCTTGGTTCAGGCCAGGCTTGGCCGTTGAGCCGTTTGTGGTGTGTGGTATGTGTAGGTGTGTGTGTCAATGTGTGTGGTGTGTGTGGTGTGTGGTGTGCGGTGGACTCTTGGTGGGTGAGACTTGGTCTGTTCTCGTGCCTACATATGCAGGAATCCCGGGTTATGGGGTGGGCGGGCAGTCTGGGGCGTGAGCGTGCGTGGGTGTGGGCGGCCAACAGCCAGCAACAAAGTTCTCGTTTCTCTCTTCCCGGTTGGTATCGTCTTGTATCCGACACCGCGATTTCCCCTGTCCTGTGCTGCGCTGGATGTATCTGGTTGATGGATGGGGTTCAGTCCGAGGATGGGGGAGCAGTACCCGGTCTAACGTGTGTCACTCTGAGTTGGGACTATGAGGCGGGAGCAAGAGAAGGAGAAGACTGGAGAACCTAGGCGACGGGGAATGGGTGCAGGTGTCGAGTTGAAATCTTTCTCGGCAACGCAACGGGATCAAGCGGGATGTCTTTCCTTTCCTAGTCGAGGACCTATGCCGGGTAGCGGGGGGGGACCAGGGGTGGTCTGGTTGCTTCTGGGTTATGGTTGTGAAAGAGTGTTCTAGCCAAGACACTTCTTGCAATGGAGAAAGACGCGAAGCCGGATGTGCGCGATGTCGCATATGCAGATGCAACCGCGGTTTGGCCAGCTGGGTCAAATCGAATGTTGCCAGCTCTCGGACCGAGTGTTTTCTGAACTCGACTAGTTGTGCACCCGACGACTAAGTCGTAAGCAGACGAGGTGAGGTGAACAAGACGAGCATTGAGAGGCGGTTATGTTTAGCAGGGCAGAGTGGGTGGCCTAATCCGAAGAGAGATTGAGCAGCGCCGGTTCTCGGGCAAGTGGGCGAGTTGGCGGGAAAAATGAGAGAGATGGAGGGACGGGGTCGGTCAGCGGCCGGTGGACGTCGGAATTGAGTGTGTCCTGAACTTTTTTTTTCTTATTCTTCTTCCACAGGGCGCTCGTTTGCCATGGGTCGTCGAGCTCAGGTCTGTTTTGGGGGGAACGACCCTTCAAAGGTGAGAGGGAAACACAAGGCAACCTTTGCCTAGGAGTGGGTGCAAAGGCGGGGAGGCTGAGACTGAAGGCTTGTGAAAGGGGGGAGTCGAGGCGGGTGAGAAAGACCGAGGGAGGGAGGACGAAGAGAGAGAGGTGTGAGACCCAGCCGACTTGAGGCGAGAGCGGAGGGATGGGTGACCAGTGGGTGTGTGGCTTGGAAAGGTCGAGAAAGGAGAGGGAACCGGGAGACAGAGCAAGGCGGCGGCCTCGGGGACACGGCCGCGTAGGACGTGTGTGATGGAGATACACAGGGGCGTGTCTTGAGCCCGAAGTCCGACCAGGCTAAGCAAGGTCTCTCGCTTGGTTTAGCACTCTGGTGTGGGATCTTCTAAAACCGGAGCGAGTCCCCTAGGCTCCACTTTTTAAGATGGAAGAAGCGTTTGCCGATGGCTGACAGGTACTATAGCACATACCGGTAGTACAATGTCTGTGGTTGGCGGACTGGATCTGCACTTGTGCCTGGTCCATTCCATAATGACGACGGATCTGCTGAAGGAATGTTGGGGAAGCTGTGGACTGGTGTACGTTGTGCCATATTGCAGCTTGCAGCTTGCGGTTTGCGGTTTGGTGACAATGCAGCAGAACCACTGTCGAGTCTTCCCACGCGTACTTACGTAGTTTACGTAGCCGAACTGTCGTCTTGTCGCTGACGTGCCCCATCGACTTGGCCAGAGCTCGCGATATCCGCCCTCCGCGCCGGTTAGCCGTCAGCCACGGGGTCAGATGCTTGCCCGAGGAGCTTCTGGCAAGATAAAGGTCCGGGTCGAATGTCTGATACCGGCACTGCAACCCCCCTTGGCATCGGCTCCTTTGGACGCCACTCGGTTGCTCCTAAACCTGCCAATGTTGCACGCTTGAGCAGCTGCCAGCTAAAGAGCAATGTCATGCGGTGCTCCTGAAGAACCAACGGTGGAAAGCAAGATCAGCTCGCGATCCATGTCCCGAGACCCGCGATTCTCGGACCATGCCAGCCTACCACACGCACTCCAATCACGTCCCTTATCTCCCCGTTGCTGCGTAAGCATCCCGCTCCCACATGCCCGTACCTTGCGCGGGACGTATTGCAGATCCGCCATTCCGGGGTTCCAGGTGCCGCTAGAATCACCGTCGAAGGGCGGGCAGCTTAGGGCCATCCCACACACCATCATCCATCAACGGGCCCTTCCACGCTTCCGCGAGCGAGGGTTGGGTAGAGTGAATTTGACCCCTATCATCCCCGTCCGTCTTGCGTCGACCGTTCCAAGTGCTTCTTCTTTGGTTTGTTTTTTGGTGCTCAAAGTCGTTTTCGAATGGCTACCGTGGAGACCATTCGACGTGTCGGGCAATGCCCAATGGCTGGACGCTCGACGAGTTCCTTTTCTTTTTTGTCCAGGGATGGGCCCCGAACACGCCCCGTCCGTGGCTGTAAGCTTTTGTTAGAGAATTGCTTCGGCTTCACTTCCCCCCCAAAATGCCGAGCTATCCTCTGCCCAGACCCTGATGTAGCCATCGTCAGTGCGTTTTAGGGCGTTATGTATCATCGCTGTCGAGGCCACCGCCACATACAGTCCCACGGTTATGAAATATGTTATTACAAAGAAGATGGGCTTGGCCTTGGTTGGCTCCTCCTTTTTGCTGCTGGCATGCGTGGGCTCTGCTCCACCGGATGTTCATCACTGGTCAGGCCGCGCGACGAAACATCCCAGGCCTCGTCACGGGACGACTTGCAGTTGCATCCGCTTGATGGTGCTCTCGCCTGTTCTCAACACCGGCTCCTGCTGCGATTTTCGCTCCGTGTGGGCTTGGCTTAGCCACCGCTGGCGTGTTGTAGTCGCGGAACGTTGTATTATGCCGTTTGTCGACGATCCGCAGAGGGAACAAAACCCCACCCTCGTGCCAGATGCTCGATTATCTCATGTTCTCCCCCGGCCGGGTGTTTGCTCCAGGCCGCTCGGGACGGTTTGATCGCCGTCCCCCAGTGCACCAATTCCCCCTGCCGGGTACGTAGATCCCAGAGGAAGTCCCCGCCATTCGAATGCGAGACTGGCCAATCACCGCTTTGAGGGCCGGTAGCTGTGGCCCGGCTGATGCCAAGGTTGCGAACAAAATTAGCAAGGCCGACCAGATGTGATAACGTTGGCTGATGGAGCGATCGGTCGTAGATGGCGATCAGAGCCGATGAGGCGTCTCAAACTTCCAGCTATGATGTCGAGATGCGATAGCATAAAGCTTTCATCATTTCGCCTGTCTAAGTATATCGGTATCGGTTGTCGCGGATATAGGCTTGGGCAACAAGGTTTGCTCCCGGGGGAAGTTTTTGCCCTTGTTTCGTTTGGTCTTGCGCTGGCCCAATGCTCACCACGCTGCATCTTTCCTAGAATAAACGCAAAGTTGCTTCTGCCGGGTCTCGTTGCCTTTCTTCGGAAAGGATGGGGCGACTTGTCCCTGTCTCGAGATTCACCTGGTCTCGCATTCTCTTGGTTTAAACTGTCAGACTCTACACTACTGTCGTGGGATACCGCAGTCCCCCGCCCTTGGGCCCGGCTGTTCAACCTGCCGAGACTGCTTGTCGTCCTGTCGTCCAACAGCAGGCTGAGGCGAGCGACTGCATCTGAGTGCCAAGAGAATGATGTTGATGGATTGCCAAGTGCCGTCTAGTGGTGCGAAACCTGCACCAGACGAACCAGACTGAAACAGAGTCGCGAGAGCCACGCACGAATGGTTATCTGGTAGTCGTCTGTCCTGTCAGCTGTGTGTGACTGGTGGGCCTCGAGCTGGTGGGTGAGATACGTCAGAAACGCAGCACATTCCGCGTTTTATCCGAGCAACCTCACAGCGCATCCAGAAGCGAGCTTCGTCCGATACTCTCGCATCAGAGCCAGACTGGAAAAAGCGAGTGCGGATGATCATCGAGAGGCAGCAGCTGCTGCACCACCATATTCTTCAGCGAGCTGGAGACACAAGGCTATGTTTTCAGGATGGTGGAGTGAATGGTGGGAGAACAGCAACAGCTTTGTGTCACGGACTGCATACATCGTGGCCAGAGGGCACTCCTACAACAGGACCTTGTTGCGATACATGGCTCCGTCGTTGCGTCCTGTTCCGTGCCCACCCCCACCGTCAAGGGTCTCATGCGGACAGAAAGTTGACACATCGCAACTGGAAAGGACAAGCTTCTCGGGCAATTCTTGCCTGCTACCGGGTAGCATTGCTAGGGGCTCTTGATGCCGCTGCTCAAGCTGGTAGGTAGCAAGTTGTGACGTCCCAGCTCCAGGGTTCATGCGGCTTTGGCGACTGCTAAGGCCGAGAAAGCTGAGCTAAACTCGCGCCAAGTGCTCTGGTATCCAGACTCAATTCTGTCAGTTGGTGAACCAGTCATTTGCAACTGACGCCCAGGCCGATCGAGCAGCTTGGCGGAACTGGTGGTACAGCACGAGTCTCCTCTGACACCTTCTGCCACACACGGTCGCGACTCTTGGCAGTCATCCGGCGGTGCCGTGGAAAAAAAACAAGTGTACTGTCAAGATGTGAGTCGATGGTGCCAACCATCTCTCGAGTTTCTGGTGCCAGGTTACGCATGCTGTCGACCGGGAGATGAATTGTCACCCCGCGCTGCAGTAGGCCGAGTCTCGATCTCCTTGCGCCTTTCGTCTGAAGTGCCGGTAGGGCGACATGGTTGGAAGAGAGGGGGGGGGGACGCTGGCGAAGTTCTGCTACATCTCAGCCGAGATGCCAAGAAAGTGTCCCCAGGCGTGAAACAGGAGACTTGACAAATCGATGTCAAGGCTGGAGAAAAAAAGGCGACATGACCCGAGGGTTTACTCGGGGAATCTGAGAAAGGAACCATGTGGTCTTGTTCAGACTTTGGGTCCATGATTGAGTGGTGAAATGCGAAAAACAGACAATGGATCTGGTATGCGTGAGATCGCAATCCGAGAAAGTCCTGCAAACGCCAGTGGCGATCTCGCATAGTCGCATGGTACAGAGTCTTCGGTACCGTGTGTACGAGGGATTGAGTAGCCTTGATTTCGTGTCATGCGTAGCACAGCGACAATCTTCTTCCTTTGCTTTCTCTTGCGAACCGACAGTGCGTAGGTGTGGTATGATGGCTGCAAGAAAGACGCCCGAAGGAGGAAGCCGGCCGGGAAAAGTGTGTGAGCATGGGAGCCCAGGAAGGATGGCTGTGACAGCGGGAAGTTTGGAGAGGTTATTCAGTGGATAACGCTGTGAATTCCCCGACACGGCCCACACCGAGCTCACCCTAATTAGCTCTGCACCATTCTCGGTGGGTCCTCGGTCAGCTGCTCCGGGCTCTTTCTCCTTCTAGGTAATGCTATCAAGGTGCTTAGCATGCTTATGTCAGACGCATCACGTGTAAGATCCACATAAGCTCCCGAGCTACATCTTTCACCGAGCTCACCGATATCACCGAAGACCCTCCATCCCCACCAACCTCCCTCCGTCCCCAAAAATCCGCCGCAGAAACCATCACAGCGTCGCCGACTCTATAAGCCATTGCGCCTCCACAATGGCGATGATCCCCTTTCTGCCTCCCTAAAACACGTCATCTCCAGTTCCTCGTCATTCCACACGATTTGAGCCCGCCCAAAATGCTCGCCCGTACCCTCCGCGCCGCGGGCACAAGTCCCACACGTGCTCATCAACAGCTCCGAACAGCATGCTCCTCCTCCTCCTCCTCCGCAGCCGAGACCCTGTCCTCAAGCCCCATCCGCGTCTTCCGTTCCGTCTCGGCCCTCCGAAACTGGCGCCGCCCGCACGTCGTAAACTACCGCTCCGTCGGCCTCGTCCCGACAATGGGCGCCCTGCACGAGGGCCACCTCTCGCTGATCCGCGCCGCCGCTCGCGAGAACCACCACGTCGTCGTCTCAATCTACGTCAACCCGGCCCAATTCGGCGTCACGGAGGACCTGGCCTCGTACCCAGTGACTTGGGCGCGTGACTCCGAGGTCTTGCGGAACCTGGACCGCGAGCTGGCGGGCGACGGCGGGAACCTGGGGCGGGTGAGCGCCGTGTTCGCGCCGACGACGGACGAGATGTACCCCTCGGGGTTCCCTGGCCAAGAGGTCAACAGCAAAGGGAGCTTCGTCACGATAACGCCCGTTGGAGAGGTCCTCGAGGGTGCCAGCCGGCCGACGTTCTTCAGGGGCGTCGCGACAGTGTGTATGAAGCTGTTCAACATTGTCCAGCCGGAGCGTGTGTACTTTGGCCAGAAGGATGTTCAACAAACCGTTGTGATCCGGCGCATGGTGGAGGACTTCATGCTGCCCATCGAGGTCGTTATTGGAGAGACGATGCGCGAGGCGGACGGCCTTGCACTTAGCTCAAGGAATGTGTACCTCGGCGAGCGGAGACGAAGGGTCGCGACGGTGCTACACCGCGCGCTCAAGGCAGCCGAGGAGAAGTACCACCAAGGCGTGTTGGACCGGGAAACAATCCTCGGCGCAGCCAACCAAGTCGCAGCCAACGTGCTGTCGGAGCAGTCGAAGCTGGCGCCCAAAGATAGGGTCACGTTCGAGGTGGACTACATCTCGCTGGCTGACCCGGATTCCATGCAGGAGATCAACACGGTCGTCCCGACCAAGGGCGGAATTCTTAGCGGTGCGATCAAGATGCTGCCGGTGGAGGAGCCGCAGCCGGGCGAAGACCTTGGTCACAGCGGTGGGCCGGTGGTGCGCCTTATCGACAACATCATTCTCAAGCCTAATACCCAGTAAAAGACAGAGTCGGCACCACCGATTGGGATGAGGAGTTGGACACCAATACTTGTTTTATTGCATGATGCTATAGGCTCTTGAACAACACCAGAGAATGCCATGCTTCGTTACCCAAAAGACACATCATAATAATCATACCCGCTCTACGCGCTTACAGTAGTACATCATTTACAAGTGCGCTCGGTTCTCCAGCGACCGGCGTCTTCTCTGCTCCTTGACGCTCATCTTGAGCTGCCGCGCATCCTCGATGCTCAGTGTCGGCGAGACGCCCTTACCGTCAATGTTCCGGGCGGCATCGAATAGCTTGCTACCCAATAGATCCGTCAGGCGCAAAACGCGAGTGCTAACAGTGGCACCGTCACGACGGTTCTTGCCCTCTCGTCGGCTTGAGGCAATCTTCTCGGTAAAGTCCCAGAGCCGGCCAGACGCGTTGAGGCTACCAGTTTCCGGGTCGCGCGAAGGACGCCACTCCGGGTCGAGACGCAAGCGTGGGGGGATCTTGGGGTCCTTCGACTTGACGACCTGGAGAATGCCTTCTTCTTCGAACCGTTGATAGGCGTTCTTCAGGGTCTCCTTGTTCACCGCCTCGAAGTAGCTGAGATCACCCTGGTGATAAAGTGTCTTGCCGAGCTGGAAGGCGTTAGTAGAGCTTCTCTCAACATTTCTATGGCAGCATGCTTACCAGTTGTGCGCTGCCTTGGGCTTTTGCCGCCTCGATCCAGATGTCGTCCTTCTGGCCCAGAGGTGGCGTTAAGCCCATTAATGAGACTGCCGCGAGCCAGCTAGCCTCGATAAACGGCCAAATGAGGAAGCAGTAGAAATCGTAGTTCTCTCGGCCAACTACTCGCTCGTGATCCGAAAGACCAACAACAACCACCTTGCCCTGGTCGTCCCGGTGCAGTTTTAGCACCTTGTCAGCTTCCAAGTCCCGTAGCGTCTTTTCCAAGTTGGCAGCAAGACCTTCGCTGGGGAAGATGAATTCCCCACGGAACAGTGACGACAAGAATTGGATCTGGTTTTGCAGCTCCTGGAAGGATATGTCTTGCATGGCTGGGCCGCCGCCCTGTTTGACCTTCATGTACATCGCAGCGCTCACTATAGCCTCCGAAATGAACAGGTGAATAGTCATGTTGCGGTAGAACGAAAGTTGGAAGCGATCGACGGCGTAGTAGGTCGGTTCAGGGAGGTCTTTCACAACGCCAACCAGGTCCTTGCCCAGGACGTCGAGACCACGCTCAATGATATCTGAGAGTGGCGCATTGCCAAAGTGAGCAACTCTGCCGCCCTTTGCACGCACGCGATCGGTGAGCCACAGGACGCGGCGCTCAAGCTCAGTCTTGCCCACACCTCTCCCTCGCAAGGTGAGCAGAACGGTGCCGATCAAGGCTGTTGGCATGACCACGGAGACATCATTAATGTCAGACAACACCTTGTAGCCCAGAATTCGGAGGAGCTTCTGGCGGATAGCGGTGTTTTCGGGGTTCTTTGTGTCCATGCTGAGACCCGTGGGTAGCCTGGACAGCCTCGTAAGCTGCTCGTTAATGAAGCCGCGCAAGCTCCAAGGTTCATGGAACCTGACATCGACTCTGCCGAGCCTCAGTGACAATACTGACGATCCACCCGAGAGAAAGTCCGCCAGATTCTCCTGTTTCTTAGGCACACCAAGCAACTCCGTCACGTAGCCTTCCGTCTCGATGACCTTGTCATATTGTGTGCTAACAGGGCAGATGATGGCGTCCTCTACCCGGCCCGACAGGATGCTATCCAAGATAAAACTGAGAATGCCAAACTTGGGCGGCAAGAGCTTTCCCGTTCTCGACCGACCGCCCTCGATGAAGCACTCAAAGTTGAATCCACCCTGCAGGAGAGTGTCGATGTAGGTCTGTACCAGCGTCGTGTATAGGATATCATCGCCGAAGGATCTCCGAATCCACATAGCGCCGGCGTGCTGCAAGAAACTTCCTACGAGAGGGAAATTGAGGTTGTCTCCCGCCACGACCACCGGCAGACCCAGCCCAAGGCGGTAGCAAATGAGTTGAAGCGAGACGTAGTCGACGTGTGACCGATGGCAGGGCAGGAATATGATGCTCTGCTTCTTCTTCTCTGCCTCCTCCGCGACCTTGCGCAGCCTCAGAACCTCCTCGCTGGATACATGTATGCCTTGGTTGTAAGCACGCAACGTCAGCTGGGTGACGAGGTAGTATGCACTCCGGATGAACGTCTTGCTCTCGAACTTGCAGATCATGTCGTCGGTCATCTTTTCTGCCACCTCTTGAATTCCAGACTCGATAACTGCCCGTCTGCGTGCGCGCTTCAGGTCGAAGTCCTTGTCTTGTTTGTTCAGCAGTCCCTCCTTTTCCTCAACGGCGACACGCCTCTCGGCCAGATCTGCGATGCGCTCCTGCAATAGTTTTGCCGACAGAACAGCTTCCTTCATCTTGTCGGTGAAGCCAGGGTAGAAGATGGGTTGGCCGATGGCGTTGTCGTAAGCGCGCCATCCGGTGCCGGAGACATACAAGGAGACTTCACGGAGGAACCTGGTGTCGAAGAAATAAGTTAGTCTCGTTCCTGGATCGACACGGAGGCTTGAGACCGGCAGGAGGGCCGGCGTGCAGGTGATACATACTGTAGCGGCTCGGAGCGGAAGCGGGCCATGTGCTTCATCAGAGCCTCCTCCTTCTCATCATCGCGTGGCTGGGATGGCTTGACGTAGCCGCTGGGCTGAAGGGTGATTTGGTCGCCGAGGATCTTCAGATCCGGCGCAGACTCGTCGTTCTTCGCCATTGTTGTTTAAGGCTTGGGATAGACAATGTCGCGCCGAGGTGAACAAGGTTGGTACCGTTGGGGACTGGTAAGGTTGGGGTATTTTGGTCGAGCGCGTTGAGATGTGCCGATCGTCGAACCTCGGGTCCGTGATGTTGTGGGTGTCGGTGCTTGTCCTAGATGCTCCGAAGCAGTCCGTCAAAGGTCTCTTGCCATTGCCGACAGTGGAAGAGCGCAAGAGTAAGCAAGGGCGAACTTGGCTTGGTTCCTCGTCTCCAAAAATCGCAGATGACGTTAGAGAAGCGACGGACTCTAAGGGGGGGAACGAACACTGAGGGGAGAGAAGAGAGTGTGTGGAGGATGCGCCAGACTGTTTTCCTTGCTCCCTCGCCCAAAAAGAAGTCGAGTCGCATTGTCATTGCCCGCCGGGGACTGGGCCGAGTGGACCGTTGAGGTCAAGTGCCACTCGCAGCGCAGCTGTGACCACCACTCACCCGCATCTTCCCATTTTCCAGGAGGTCCAGGTTCTGTTAAGCCGCGGCTTCGGCATGTGAACAAACACTAGCCATCCTTGCCGCTGCAGGAGCCACTCTGCCATCTACTTTTACAGTGTGCGGTACATACAGGTTCACTAGTATGGTGCCACCAACAGCAGGCAAAGAAAGGTACGTACCGTCAACTTCTGCATCGTGCCCCACCACCAGCCTGGAACCTGGAGGCACTAACATTTAATTTTCCCAAAGTCCGCCTCCAACATTGACTCCGCCAGCAATCGTTATCCATCCTTGCGGCTATTCTACGCCAGGCCGACCACGGAGCAGCTTCCTTCGCGCATATACGCGGGTGCTCAAAGAGACCTGTCGACATGGCACCCTCGAACCAGCCCATTACACAGGCGCTCCTCGCGCGAGCCCATTCCCCCGACAGCGTCAACCGCATCTTCTCCGACAAAATTCAATACCGGCCGCTTTACCTCAGACCGAGTTCGCCACCACCGCCTTCGAATGCCCGGAATGCCCGTCGCAAGGCTCGCGAGGAGGTGAAAAAGAAGCAAAAGCTCAAGCCGAAGCCCCTCTCTGCACGCGAACGACACAGGCGCGGTCTCTACGAGGTACCCCGCGAGGGTCAGAAATACGCCATCTTCGAGCCCCTCCACCGTCTGTGGCTGGGATACATTGAGGAAATCCTGGGCTCTGAGCTCTACCATGGCGGCGCCGCCGCTGCTGCGAAGTTGAGCGCGGCTGAGTTTCACGGCGCCGCAGTTGAGGTATCCAGAAGCTCCTGTCCGAGTAGAGTTGGAATCAAGGGTATCGTGGTCAAGGACGGCAAATTTGCATTCGAGATCATCACGCCTAAGAACGAGATTAAGATTGTGCCAAAGGAGGGGACATGGTTCAGGTTTGAGGTACCAGTCAAGGAGCCCGTCGCGGAGGCACCAACAGGACCAGATGCCCCTCAGCGGCGCTTCGTCTTCGAGGTCCTCGGCGACCAGTTCCTCATGCGCGGTGCGGATCGGGCCAACAAGAAGTTCAAGAACCACTACCTGAAGAACCTCTGAAAGGTTACATACTGGAGGGTTTGAATTTATTTCAGTCAATCAAGCTACAAGAGTCAGTCCGCGTCTGGCTCGGAAGTAACTCCTGGGTACGAGAGACAAACGCCAGAGCTTTGAGTAAGGCATGGCCGTCATGCGAGGAAGCAATCGCAAAAGGGCACCCATCTGAGGTTCATGCGTGGACACGACAGTTGGAGAGGTCGCCACAGACCAGTCGTTCGCAGCTACTTGAGGAGGATTCCTGCGTGGACGGCTTGGGTCGGCTCAACAGCGAGCAGGTAGTGCCTTGAGATGCACACGATACACAGCAGGCACTCGATGGGACGGCCACGTAACGACTCTTTACACCAGGATCTATCGATCTAGCCGAGGCTGGGGAGAAATGGAGACCGGGGACATGAGGCACATGTCGCGCGAGCAGGCACTATCATAGGGAGGTTCGAAGAACATCCGCCAGCGCTGCTATAGTCGTACATCGGCCTTCGGCTGCATCCTCGTGCTCTTTACGAAAGTAGGAAATTGGGTAGGGCGTCCAAGGCAGGCAAGGCAAGCAGAATAGACTTTGCCCAACTCAGGCCTAGATAATCTAACAAATATCATGTCACACTCGCCTGGCACTAGAGTTGCCAGCAGAGTCTCTCCAATGGCTGATGGCGGTCATTGCCTGCCGTATAGATCCAACCAGGCATGGTCTGGTTAGACGATACATGGTGCAGCGTGTGATGGATTGCGAGTAAATAGGCAATGGGCTCGCTCACGACTGCCATCAGTGCTTTGCTAGAAAGGATTTCGTTGCAGCAAAGACTAACCGAAAGGTTTCGTCCTGCCGAACCCCCAACAGCCTACTATTTACAGGCTGTGAAAGAACAGCGGGATATAGATCGTGGCCGGAAAAGTTTGACAAAATTCAACAGAAGAGTACAATGACCAAAACATTCCAAAAATAAATGAGTTCTCGGTAATGTGGAATTTAACCACTACATCTCCCCGAGGTGGGCTCGAACCACCAACCTCCAGATTAACAGTCTGACGCGCTAGCCAATTGTGCCATCGGGGATGAGACATTTGTTATTGAGAAACGCGACAAAATTAGAGATTATATTTCTGACACTGTGAGGGGCATCAGGTACACCTTGGGTTCAACAGCTTCACTTCGCCTACTTTGTCCCCTTTCCCTCAATGTCTCTCGTGTCCTGTTCCTATCATCCTATGTCCATTCTTCGCCGTCGTCGCCGCCATTTCGCCCCTTTGCCTAACGTGGTATTAGCAAGATTGCACAGGAAGACGAGATAGAATAAATGAACAGGGGCGTTACTTCACCCCAACTGTCTTGGTCAGTGTCACGGTTGCGCAACGGCCCCACTCGCAAGCGAACGTGCTCCTGACATCCGTTCCGGTTGCACTGAAGATTCATGTATTCCTAAGAAAGCAATGAGAATGCATGGCCGTGGAAGGCATGTCATATTTGATCTGGTTTGGATACAACCGAGCTAGGAACCAAGTTTTCAAAACCGTGAATTGCAGCGCAGTCTTTTCAAGCTGGGGCAACCAGTCGATTGGCGGCGCATCGAGGCGAGTGGATTCAAGCATCATGACATACAAATCGACCCTAAGAAGACGGATCGTCCGAGCCCCTCAATGCGGATTGCAAGTACGGACACAATGAGAAGACCGTTCGTGAAATGGAGCCGTATCACGTCACAGAAAGCGCGCCTGGTTACATAATGGCGGCTACTTGCCTAGACAAAAAGCAACGCGACGCGTGCGACCGCTGCCGATGACATCAGGACTCGATCAGATTCGACCTCGCGCGTGCCTCTCACAGTGTTCACCTGGCGACCACCACCCTCCAGCAAGCTCCATAACCTCCTCGTCCCCTTTCAAAATACTGTGCAATTTCAATTGACCCCATTGAAGTATAACCGTCACCGTAATCACCACCCCCATCTTGAAGCCACGCCTAACCATCTCACAACGCCACCATGGTTACCACAAGAAACAGAGAGCGCGTCAACAGCTCTAGCGAAGCAAACGGGAAAACAAATGCTCCTGCCGCCGCCGCCGAGAAGCACGGCATCGACAAGGACGCTGGCAATGGTTCTCGCGACGCAAAACGTGCCAAGAAGTCCGATGACACTGCCAGACAGACGACCTTGGAGGAGACCTTCGAAAAGCACGATGATACACAGCCCGAGAAATCAGAAGCGGCGGCAGAGAAGAAGAAGGAAGGATCCGATGTAGAGATGAAGGATTCCGTTGACGACACCGCAAATGGCTCCAAGCTGACCGAGGAACCGACGAAAGAAGAGGAAGAGGCAATGGCCGAGAAGGTGGAAGAGGCTGAGAAGATTGAGCAGGCAAACAAGAGTGAGGAAGCAAACAAGGCCGAGGATCAGCAAAAACCTGGAGAGAAACAGACGACGGAAGAGCCCGCATCGAAGCCCGCCGACGACGAGACCGCAGAGCTCCCCAACGAAAAATCCAAGGTGCCCTCCAACATCCTCGAGAAGGGCATCATTTACTTCTTCTTCCGTGGCCGTGTCAACACCGAAACGACAGAGGAGGTTGACGACATAGCTCGCAGTTACCTCATACTCCGGCCTGTCGGCACCGACTCTAAGCTCGGCGACGGGCCCATCGGCGACGCGGGAAACACCCGCCTGCTCGCCCTACCAAAGAAGGTCCTTCCTGAGAGCGGCAAGGATCGCTTCATGGTGTTTGTCGAGAAGTCGGGCACCTCGTTCAAAGAGTTGAAGGAGCAGTTCCTCTCGGGTGCTGATAATGAGACCAAGGCCGGCACGTCTCATTCGCCCTCTGCGACGCCTGCCGGAGAAGGAGTCTATGTCATCACAACTACTGGGCGTGAGACCCATCTCGCATATATGCTGACCTTGCCTTCGGACCTGGGTGAGGTTCAGGAGGAGCTGGGGATCAAAGAGAAGGGGAGCTTCATACTGAGCACCAAGAACCCCTACAAGTCCGGTCCTGCGTATGCCAGCCTGCCGGAAACACCTGATTTCCCAGACAAGTAAGTGATATCAGCACCATCACTACTAATAACTATGCTAACAGACTTTGCCAGGATAAAAGAGCAGTTTCGCGACCTTCGTTGGATGCCGACTAAGCCGGAGCACCTTGACTACGTCAACTCTCAGGTCCTCATGATCGGTGAATCTTCAGGTATCGAAAAGGCCGTCGAGCCAAAGAAGAAGGACGTCAAGGCTGGCAAGGACGATCCTGAAGAGGTCCTCCAGGAGATGGAGGATGAGGACACCAAGCGGATGGAGCACCTCTCTGGCGATGACTCGGCTTCCATCTTTGCTGATCTGCAAGCTCGTGCCAAGGACTACCCGCAGCTACAGACTACGTTTTGATAGCTTGCGTTCTTCCATCTGCATTCTTCGTGGCGACAAACCAATAGCCTCTGCTGTTGCCGTCAAGATATTAGAGCTCCTAAGAGGCTAATTGTATCTCATGTAAGAATATCGATTTTGTTTAGGGCATGTTTTGAGTACGAACAGTGTTTAAGAAACTAAGTTCTTATCGGCCATTTTATTACTGGTTACGTCGTGTCTACAAAAACATTGTGACTGAGCTTCCGATTTAACCAGCAAGGCAATCAAGAATGGCATTCTATACATAATGATAATGTCTGAAAAACGATTTTCGGGGTGTGGTCTATTAGCAACCTTACTACCGACTCTATGTTCATCACAACGATCATGGTCCTTGATAGTTGCTTGAAACTAGTGACTGATTGGTGTATTCCAAGTTCCAAGGTGGTATCTAAGCGATTTCCACGCCCAGCCAATTGGCCATTGCCTTGTTCAACCTGATCAGATGGATCATTTCCTGCTCTCCGTGATGATTTGTTCCACAACGTCCAGTTTGCTCATCCTTTTGAGGACACCTTCAAACATGTTACAAGGCATCGAAGTAGCCAATCGAGCCATTGTGGCCTTTTCACCCTTCCAGATGACAGCCGGTGGGCTATTCCCTAACAAGAGCGCTGCTACCTCGGCGGCCCACTGCTCCGCTGGGATTCCTATCTCGACGAGACCCTCCTGGCTCATGGCCTTCTCGACAACATCCCGGGCTGGTCCGTATATCGAGCCCTCCCGCAGTCTCTCGGCCTTAGAGTTGACGTTATTGTTGGAGATCAAGTTGGTCCGCACACCGGCCGTCTTGAGGTCGATGACGCTGATTCCGAAGGGCGACAGCTCGAGACGCATCGTCTCGGAGAGCATGGCGAAAGCCGCCTTGGACGAGTTGTAGATACCTTGAAAAGGGATCGCGGTGACTGATCCGACCGAGGTGTGGTTTACTATCATGGGTCGAGCCGGGCTGCCGCTTGTTGACGAGGAAGCCAAGGTTGCGGACTTGAGCAGCGAAGGCAAGAATGCTTGCGTAACGGCAACCTGCGACCAGACGTTCAGATCGAACAGTTCCTTCGCCGCATCCAATGAAACGTCCGCAATGGGCATCGTGTAGTTGCCCGCCGCGTTGTTGACGAGCATATCCAAGCCTTCATTCTCGGGCAGAGAAGAGGAGACGGTCTTAACAGCGGATTCGATGGAAGACGCTGATGTTACGTCCAAGGGTGTCGTTCTCATGCCTTGCGCCGCGAGCGACGACAGCTTAGACGGGTTCCGCGCCGTCGCGTAGACATGGTGGCCTGCATTGTGGAACGTGGTGGCCAGAGCTGCGCCCATGCCGCCCGGAGAGCAACCGGTGATTAGTATATTGAGGCGTTTTGGTGAAGACATGGTCGTTTAAAGTTCCGAGACGGGCTTTGACGAAGAGTAAGATGATTGCAATACACAAAAGCTTGGATTGTAAATAGTTTGGATGATGTCAGAGAATGTGGAATAGAACCGAGTTTTTCGTAAAGCTGATTGAGTCTTAAGACTGAGTTAAGAACTAGTTGCAAGGAACAAGGAAATTTCGATCCTCTTGCCTTTCTTCATTGTGAAACTTATAGCATTGAACCCATTCCCCAAGTCAGTGGAAGGTCCGCCGGCTCGTTAGAAACCGGGAGCAGTACATACTCAGTGACCGATCAACTATCCTTGCAAAGACGCGCCGTACTCCGTAGCCTGTTCACTTCAATCGATAGTCATCTATTCTGAACCCTCTCCGCGGCCTCGTTGTTTGGAGTTGGCTGATGCTGTAGACCCGTCCGTTGCGGACTTGCGGACTTTTGTGTGGCTGACTTGCGGGCAGGCTGTCTTGGGCCTAATTAGTCCGCCATTGTAAGCGGATCCTTTCATGAAAAACAACTACCTCTGCAAATGCGGCGGAACAGCTCAAGAATTTGCGAGGTCAATGCTAATTTCCGCCGTCGGCCGTCTGGCCGTGTTTGTCTTACTTCCAGTCCACCAAGATTCAGTGGTTGCTTGCTAGTGGGTTCCCCCCAACATCTCTACCTGTGCGGCTGAAGCACATAACGGAAACAATGAGATTAAAAAGGCGACGTCGATAGTAGTATAGTTCTTCAATACCGGACTGCGATCAGCCGGTTCCAACTGTTCGTGTTCCTAGCACTGGAGCGTGAATGAGGAGAATTGACATTGTCCGCTACGAGAGAGCAGGCACGCATTTCAAGAAACTCAACATGCATGCATAGCCAGGATGACACGGCGCGACACTTTGAAGCAGCAAATACTAGATCATTGAATAAAAACTGTCCGAATCTGCCCTCATGCTACTGTTTGACTCCCCGGACTTGAACCGTCGATGCACGACTTGGTCTCATCGCAATCGCCCCCACGCAAATTTACACGAACCTTTCTCGCAGTACTCTCCATGTCGCCGAGTGTCGTGCTGCGACTGAGGACTCCGCCCACGTCGTGTCCATGACGAATTGCACCCAAGGAGCTGCTCTTCCATAGTGGCACATCGCCTTCTCGTGAAGAACTGCTGAGAGTTATGAACAGAAACCCAATAGTTGCCACGATCATCAAACCATGCAGCGCGATCCACGGCCACTGGATGCGGTACAGTACGGTGGGCTTGCCCACCTTGCCGAAGTAACTCAGCGTTCCATCTTGGAAACGGTCTTTGTCTTGGCCGTTCTCTTGGTTTTGACCTGGTGCGAAGTTCCTCCTCATCTCGTTGGTCATGCTCGTTGCGAGGGTGTGGAAAGTGCTGGAGATGTTGTGCCTTGTCCAGGCCCAGAGACCATTCAGTGCTGGTGGTGTGGCTTCCATAGACAACTCATTGTAGGGGCCAAAAGATGCACCATTGATACCAGCGGCGCCCTTGCCCAATTTCTTCTCAATTTCTTCCCTCTGCGTCAAGCTGCCGGTCAGGTTGGCTCGGAACAGCTGTTGCATATGCGCGCCGATAGACATGACGGACGCCGGCGAAATTCTGAAATAGCTTTGCGTCTTGTTGTTAGGGAACTCAAGCCTGAGCTCTGAATAGCTCACGGCAGACCAGTACTTGTCGAACTCTAGGGTACCGTTCGCCTCCTCCGTGATAACGGTCTCCGGTAGACCGTCTTCCAACTCCGGGCCCCGCTCCCATGAGTCGGGATCCCTTATCGCATCTGTGGCTTCCGTAATGCTTTCGATGAGCTGGTTGCCCTCAACCTTTGAGTCGATGTTCTTTACACAATAGTAAAGTGCGCACTCTGTAGCCTGCAAGGGCACATCAGGCCAAAACTTGAGTCCGGCCTTTGAGTTCGTTTCGGACTCTCCAGGCGTGAATCCAGATGATTTATTGAGTGCCTCCATGTCCGGGTTGATGATGCTCATTGACCAAATCAGAGTGTTGATGTCTTTCATAGAATTTGTTTTGCTTGGAATCGCAGTGCCGAACGAAGTGGTGGTGTATCTTTCGTCAGAATATACCCCCAAGGGCTGGCGGTTCTCGCACTCGGCAAACCTTCCGTTGTACGGCGGGCAGCCGTTGATATTTGCAATGAAATGACCATTGGGGAGAGCGAAGGCAGTACTCGGGACTGTTGAGTCCGCATACGTGGTGTTTGCCATGGCGACAATGACCTGTCCGAAGTCTTCGACACGCCGGAGGTCTGAAGTGACGTCGTTGCACCTATGGCAAATGCCAACGGTGCTGAACTGGTTCCAAGTGCAATTGCTGGTAGGGCATTGGACCAACGCTTCCTGCTCGACTTCCCATAGCGACTTGGAGATCCCACTCAGAATAGCACCTTGCATAGACAATGGTATGTCCGTTGTTACAGACCATTCCGATTTGGACGAATTGAGAATTTGTCGCTGGTTACGAGCGACGGTACCCATGGAGTACGTACTTGTGCCAGAGTTGAGAGCGAGCGGACCATCGTCTAGTCGGTTGGTTTGCGTGTAGATCACTCCTTCTCGGGCCTGAATGATCTGCTGGGCTAGGGGATCGAGGCCAACAGCGAGGAGCGTGAGTATTGCGCCGAGCTGAACGACAAAGCTGGGAACCAGGGGTTCAGTAACGACCATGGGTATGAAAAAGCTTGCAGAGGACCTTGACTTACGCGCCCTTTGTCCTGAGCAGAATGCGCAAGCTGCCAAGAGGACCACGTGTGGCACTGTCTATCCGGTCGAAGTCGATGAGAGGTCGGTCTTCGCGGATGAAGAGAATCCACTTCCACTGAGCCAAGCACTCGGAGATTACAAACGCGACAGCTGCCTTCATCGCCACAGAGAGGATGGAGACGATCGTGTTCAAAGTGATCCCTTGCCAGGTGAAAATCGGTTTGTTGTCGAAGCGGGCGAGGAGCACTACCATGGCGATGAACGACACAATTCCACCGACTAAGGCCCAGTATTCCGGTCCCCATCCTGACCATCGTAGTGAGCTAAGCATTGCGAAAGTGCGCTCTCCCCAGGCCACGAGTAAGCTTGCGAAGTGAGATCTGAAAATTTGGGAACACTTGCGACTTTAAGAGTGTTCCATTGTTGGCGGGTAAGCTCACGTGGAAGGAAGCAGGCAACCACAGACTAATACGCGCTAAAGCGTGGCGAAACCCCTAAATAATCAGATCCTGTCTTACAGTAGGCTGTGCTGGTTGTGTATGGGAATACGCCTAAGGATTCGAAACCCTGTCGACACTAGGAACTTGCTTTAATCCGCACGAATTTGTCAACCTTTCCCCTTCAAGCTTACTTAGAGGCTGGCTCAGCCGTGGTGGGGCGACCTTTTAAAGTAGTCCAAAACTCCATTTTAGAGCGATCTACTACGCCCACTCAAAGAGTCCTTACGGAGAGTGGATTGGTTACTAACTTCACGTTAGATGTAAAGTGAGGTCTTCCCGTGTTTCCATTTCTGCTCTTTGCTGTATTAGTGTCCGTCACTACGAAGCCGCCGGTCTGTATAATCTGTGAATCAGACTTACCATTCGCTGTTATCAGCGGAATTTAAGTCCTCGAGCTGTGTCTTTTCTCAACTCGTTAATGACTGAGAGATGGATCATCCACAGTTTGCGCATTCGTGCAAATATCAGAGTTCACAGTGAGATGCAACGTTGTTGGTTTGGACAGAAAACAGTCTTGCCCGCTGTTCTTTCTGCTACCAAGCAAGCAAAGGCGTAAAGTAGCAAGCTGGATAGATTTGCAAGCCCTAGTAACATGCAATACTTTTAAGACGTCATGGATGCGGCAGCACAGGTCATCAAGGAGATGGATATCAAAAGAGGGCAAAGGTAGGTAAGTGGCATGAATCTGAGCTGATTTCCAGAGCTGTCACTGACGGCAGCAGGATGACAGCATTTGAGCCTGATCGGCGGGTTGGTTTCTCTGTGATGGCAGCGTCTCAGCCCGGGCGGCATTTCGGCACGGGGGACGCCACGGTCGACGTCAATTTCGGAGGCGGCTGGCGGTCACGGCGGATGAGTCGGAAGTCGGTGTGTCTTCTTCTGGGCGGCGCGCCCGAGTGCAGGTTTGATTAATTATACCACTAGGAAGATGGACGGCCGAGGTGAAAGCTGCTATAGTAATGTAACCGAAGGCCATTAGCTGGTACGGCGCTGGGCCGAAATGAGAATTATTGCCACCAAAGTTCCACAAACACGATGCAGGGCCATAAGCCCAGCTACAACATATAGGAGAACCCATAGAACATTATAAATGTTAATCGGACATTGAGTAATGGTCAGTGTAAAGGCCTAGCTCTAAATACTCGCAATACTTTCTTCTACTCTTCCACTCTCGGCCAACTCCGACGCCTACGCTAAGGATCTGCGATTGAGACTAAAGACCTAGCATTTCAGTGGATGGAATCTGTCGCGTTGCACACGAAGTCATTGAGTTAACCGGCTTGAGATCCGAATCTAGGCCGGGAAACGCCGGCGCATGATAAGACAGTCCGTTATCGGCCCCACACGGCACGGATCTCGGTCCATCTCGGAACACAGTTCTGCAACCGAAACAGGTCAAAACGACTGCACCAAGGCCTCCCGTTGGGTGAGACGTGATACTGCAGCAATCTTCCAACCATACATAACACAACTGCGAAAAGAAATCCAGAAAGGACACAATGGGTAACAACATTTCGTACCAAGAAACGCCAGTTGAGCTTAGCTTGGGCAACCGAGGCAAGATCCGCGGCCTCCAATTTGACGACAAAACTCGCCGCTTCACCGGAGTCCCTTACGCCCTGCCACCGACTGGCGAGCATAGGTGGCGCAAGCCGCGACCTTTGCCCGCTTCATACACTTACGCCAACGCTGACGGGGGTGTATACGACGCAACAAAGTTCAGAGCAGTCTGCCCTCAAAAGGTCTGGGGCGTCGTGAAGCCCGGTGTCGGAGAGAACACCTACAGCGAGGACTGTTTGTTCGTCAACATCTGGACCCCAGCACCCAAGGAGGGCGACGAGAACAGAAAATGGCCGGTGAAGCTCTGGATCCACGGGGCTGGTTCCAGATGGGCGATCCTTCGCACGAACCAGGAATGGATGCGACGGAGTTGATCACCACGGGCGGACTCAACGCGATTGTTGTGGCCATCGGTTACCGTCTGAACATTTTCGGATTCCTTGCTGGAGAGGCTCTCTTGAATGACAGCAATGGCGAGGCGGGCGGCAACTTTGGTTTGTGGGATCAGCGGATAGCTGCAGAATGGGTAAGAGATAACATTGCCTATTTCGGAGGAGACCCGCAAAACATTACACTCGCCGGTCGAAGCGCTGGTGCATACAGCGCCGAGGCTCAGATGTTGTATGATTTTCGCAAGACTGGCGAAAGCTCCTCGCTGTACCGCCGTATCTTCATGGACTCCAACGCCATTCCCGCACAGCCAAAGTCTCTCCCCGAAGTCCAAGGACAGTTCAACGAGCTGTGCAACCATTTCAAGATCGACTCAGGCGTTTCAAATGGTCAAAAGTTGGAGACACTACGAGGAAAAAGCGTGGAAGAACTTCTGGAAGCAATCCCTCATCTGAAAAACCACACCTTCAGGCCAGTTACGGACGACATTTTTATCCACTCTGGCATGATAGAATATCTAAAAAGCAAACAATTTGCAGATGAGTTCAAAAAGAGAGGATACAAGATCCTCATCGGTGAGGTCCGCAACGAAGAGACTCTATACTCAACTTATAATCCTCCGACTGAGCCGACCCTCGATGCTCTTCGGCTGCAGATCTCCAACTACTACGCGCCTGATGTTACTGGCCGTGCCATTAAAGAATACAAGCTCCCAGAATCGAGCAATTTGGAAGACTGGCAGAAGACATTCGGTAAGGCTCTAAGTTATGTCACAGAACACGAGTCAATTGCTGACAAAAGGATGAAGGATCAATAATTTCGGATGGACAGGTTCGCGCACCCTCTAGGGCACTTGCAAAGGCGCTGGTGGACAACGGTGTCAATATAAGAGACGTGTGGCGATACCATATTGGCTACAGACTCTCCTTTATTGACGAGAAAGTTGCGCCGATATCCTTTGGGGTTGCTCATGCTATGGACAGGCCCATTTGGAAGTGAGCTTTTTTCGTTCATTCCCCCCCCGTGATTGCGCTTGCTAACAGCGTGACACTCTCAGTTTTGCGATTACTCATGGTCCAACTCCAAGCGAGGAAATTCTGATGAAGGACTGGATCCAGATTCTGGTGGCTTTCGTGAACAATAGCGATACCTACGATTTTGGAACGAAGACAGTCCAACAGATGAAGGTCATGACTCCGGAGGGAACTATCGAGATCCGTGCGGACGAGCGGTGGGATGAGCTTGTGAAATTAGGCAAGATTTTTGCAGGCAAGTAGGCAATCGATATCGCCAATCAACCAATACACACTTAAAGAGCAGCATCCAGATATATTGTTCGAGAAACTCGAAGCTTTCATGGTTAAAACATGCATGTTGTAGGGCATTGAGGCGGATCTCCTAATACCATTGTTTTGTTGAGTCTTACTACAGGCAAGGGCCTCAAAGTGTATCCATATATAACCCTCCTATAAGTGAAGGTCATCATTAAAGGGCCTATATACGCTACAGAAAGCGAACATTATCCCCCAATACCCAGGACAAACAACGGTGGCCATGATGGCTAGTGACAAGGAAGCGGAACGGCAGCTAGTTGTATAAGAAGTAAAGTCCTTACATTTCTTTATGTAAAAACTACTATCCCTTTCATCGAATTGTTTTTTCTTTATAGTGGTTGAAGAGGAAATTTATGTAATTACGCTCTCTAAGCTAACTACTGCTTCGTTATATTGTATACACTAGTTTACCCGCACTTACTTTTCCTTCCTTTGACTCCTTAAGTCCAATCAAAACACCCTCTAGACCACTTCCACCACGGTTCTTGATGGTCCGAATCGGGATAAGCTTTCCTTGCTCAAGGAGGTTACGGCTCAACTCCCAAAAACGACGACCAAATTCGTGATCCTCTGGGATGGCATCGTAAGGAGCAAGGAAACTAAATCGCTCTCCGAAGACGGAATAGTAGAGAGTCATCTCTAGTCTCGCTTTCGGGTTGGTCCGCTGCAGCATCTTCCCTGATACCGGCAGAAGATTGCTGATAATACCGCCTTCAGTGGAGATAGCGTTGCCAACCATCATGGTAGACTCCTCGGTACTCTGACAGTCCCATGCCAGCGACAGCTCATTGTTTGTATAAGCCCGAATGTCGGCTGATACGGTGGGAGACTTGTAGTCAAAGACGGCCTCAGCACCAAGCGACTTAAGATAGTTGAAGTTGTGAGGCGATGACGTGGCTAAGACCCTAAAGCCAGACAGATTCGCATACTGGATGCCAAAAATACCCATGGCCGTGCTGCCGCCGTTGACAAGTATATGTTTCCCCATCTTAGCCGCCGCATTTGGCAAAGGTAGCTTAAGCGTCTGGTAAAGCGCTTGACCCTGTCTCTATGGGTTAGCTCTTTGTTCATATAAATTCAAGGTGGAAACCCGTACAACAGTGGTCACTGCGACTCCAAGCGTCGCAGCCTCATCGTCCGAAATTCCAATGGGAATATGAATTTGTAAGTTTCCCTTGACTACTATATACTTGGCAAAGCTACCATCGACTTCTCTTAACGGGTTGCTGTTCAATTTTGTTAGTACATATTCGGAATCTGCACAAATGGTCTGAATTTACGATCCATTGACAGGGCCGCAAATACGGTCGCCTTTTTTAAAACTTTTAGTGACTCCAAGACCAACTTTCTCTACGATCCCGGCGTAATCGCAGCCCACCCAGCTTCCAACGCAGCCAAAATAGTCTGCATTCTCTACGTGCTTCCAGTCGGTGGGATTGATGGCTACCGCAGTTGTCCTGACGAGGATATAGTCGTCTGTCGGAAGTTGGGGGATAGGAACATCAACCACTTGAGCAGTGCCAGCAGCAACAATCTTTACGGCTTGGTTCAGCGACATTTTGACTGTTTGAGGGCGGTGCTTGATTATTAAATGGTCTGATGAAATAATAGATGACCAAGTTCAAAACATAAAGGAATACGAATTAGCACTCTAAGAAACATTTTATAATCCGTATTATCCGGCCTGGACGCACATGTGATCTGTGTGAGGAAACTCTGGTGCCTGGTTCCCGATCTTTTGATGCGATACGAGAGTATGACAACTCTACAAAACTTGGCACGAACTAGATTGCACAAATATGGACTACCTGCCCGCGGCCTACCGATGCATGGAGTCTCGAGGAGATCACCCTTCCCAGTCTCCACCTTTGGGGTTTGGTCCATGTCTGAGTACGATTCGCAGTCGCTGCTGGGTCGCGGTGCAACATTCGGGCATCCGCGGGAGGCCGCCTGTGCACCTTAATTGATTACATGCCACGGGTTTTCGGAATGAAACCATTTCCCGTTCTTCAATCGTTGTCAACGGACGAACCGAATGCAGTTGAAATGACGCTGCAGCCAATAGTATGTCTACCCGGTGTTTTGGAGACTTTTTTGTCTATGTGGCCTTCGGTCTCATCTTGCCCATATATTGACAATAGCCTGAGATTCAGATCCAACGTGCAGTAGTATAATTATTTCCAGCGCTTTTCCAGTAACATAGATTCCACTACTTCTCTACAACAATCGCAGAAAAAGCAGCTCTATCTCTTCTATACGACGATTAAACCTTAAGATTTGAACCACAATGGCGACTGGTTCCTCCAACGCGTTCACAGGCAAAGTCATTGCTGTTACTGGCGCGGCAAGCGGCATTGGTCGAGCTGTGGCTCTGTGCCTAGGAGAACGCGGTGCCTCCTTAGCTCTTTCCGACGTGCAAAAGGATAAGCTCGAAAAGGTAGCAGCAGAAATAGTTGCTGAATTCCCTCAGTCTAAGGTGGTCGCGAGCGTTGTGGATGTCCGAAACAGCAACGAAGTCAAAGAGTGGATTTCCAGCACAATCGAAACGTTCGGTCACCTAGACGGCGCAGCTAACATTGCTGGCACTGGTGGCAATTACTCTCCTACACCTCTTGAGACCCAGGAGGACAAGGACTGGGATTTCGTGGTGTCGGTCAATCTCACGGGAGTCATGATCTGCATGAGGGAGGAGTTAAAAGTCCTCACTAATGGTGGATCAATTGTGAACGCGTCAAGCGTCTTGGGCCTTCATGGTGGCTTTTCCACCGGTTTGAGCGCATACACCGCAAGCAAACATGGCGTAATGGGCTTGACGAAGATGGCGGCGAGAGAATACGGTCATAAGAATATTCGTATCAACTCAATTAACCCGTAAGGTTTCCTTGTATTCGAACTCTTCTTGAGGTACACGCTAACGTTTGAAGTGGTATAATTCAAACACCAATGATGCCGGGTGACAACTCGAAGTACGACCTCTCGGGTGCGGTTAAGCCGCCTATCCCTAGAATGGGAAAACCTAAGGAGGTCGCTGCTCTTGTAGCCTTTCTGCTGGGAGACGAGTCAAAATACATTACGGGCACATCCATGGTGATTGATGGCGGATATATTTCTTGAGGAACTTTTGCATCGATGCCATGTTGTCAAATGTCAGCAACAGACCATCCCAGACACAAATTGTGTTTTTACTATGTAACAACAGCATGCACTATGTTTGGTTTGTTTTCATTGTACTGTAACACTAACAGGCGTGCATATGGAACTCTCTTCCTATATACCAGTTAATCAGCGGTGGAATCTGTTCCCCCAACACTGCAATGATTGTTCTTTTTGCCTTTGACTCCGATGTCTGCACGTGCGCTGGCAAATTGTGAGCCTGAACCGGATAACTGTAATGGAAAATAAAGAACAGTGAGAAGACCATGAATGTCTTTTGCTCTAGCTTGACCCAACGAGGGTTCTTTTTGATGTAATCTTCTCCAGGGGCTTTGACTGGTGTTTGGGTAATATTGTATGACTGAAAATAGTAAGATTGCCGTGCTAGAACAAGATTTCGGTCAAGGAAAAGAATACTGTGTCTCGGCCATTGTGAAGGACCAAAAGACGAACTAGAAACTCGATTTTTTTGCCCGACAAGGATTCTATGGTTCAGGCGCTTTGTTGGCCGAGTTATTTTCAATGTTTACTGATGTGCCCTCAATAGGTCCATTACCCTTGGGCCTTTCAAACGGCGCCATACCTTTCCTGATAGCAATGTCGTCCTCGAATGTGCCATAGATGTCGAAATCATCTTGATAACCGAGTCTTTGTGGTTTAAAAGCAAACGTCAAGATGGCGTAGAGCGTACCAGCCTCCAAAAAACCAAAGATGTAGTTTCCAAGATAGTACTTGTAGAGTCCTTCGTTGATTTTGACACCGGGGTTGACCGCTGCAATCATTCCGGGCATGGCAGGAACGAAGCAGACAACCCAGGCAACAAACGCTCTCCAATTGAAGCCGTAAGAGTACCAGTAAGCACCTTCATGAGAGCCGGTGTACAGTTGGCTTATCTCGATCTTTTGGCGGCGGACAACGAAGTAATCGGTCATCATGATGCCCGTCAACGGACCCATAAAAACAGAGAAACTGGCTGCTACGGATACGAAAACGCTCGCAGTATTGTAGAATTCCCACGGCTGAACTGCCCATGAGAGAGCAGCTGCCAAAAGAGCACCGCGCTTGATATTAATCCAGGTCGGAAGAAGCCCCGCGAGATCCATGCCGGCAGCATATCCGTTCCCGAGGATGTTTTCCGCAATCTGGCCGAGGACGAAACCCAGACTGCAGAAGAAAGCACCAGCGCGAGACTTTGCGTTGTAGTCATCCATCATCCACTGTGTAATTACCGTTAAAGGGTTCCACATTGGCTCATCCAACTTCCAAATCGCCATCGAAGCAGAGGCCGTCAGAATGGCGAGGATCGGGACTACCATTCCAGGAATAAAGAGCGAGAAGATAATACCGGGAACTTGAATACCTTGCCTTCGCGCTAAACGAGTAAAGTCACTCTGGTTAAGGATGCCGGCAGAGATGTTGCCTACCGACGCAATGATCCCATAGACCCATGCCCATTCTTTGGTGAGAGTGGAAGGTTGCTTTGCCCCTGACACAAACAAGGGACCCGTACCGCCAGTTTGGCATGCCCATATTGTGATGCCCATCATAGTAACAAAAACAATCAAGTTGGCAACAATGACTGGTCCTTTTGCTTTCTCGACTCTGATAAGCTATTCAGTAGGTGAGCGGAAGTTGGGCCTTTGGATAATGCGAGTGACATCTGGATTGGCTTACAAGAAAGGGGACTGAGATTAAATGGAATATGACGAAGCCCACTAGGTCCCTGGTTACCATATGGGCGCTCTCCGGGAGTGTATTCTCCATCGTCAAGAAGTTGTAGCTCCAGCTGCTCAGCATTGCGGAAACACAGAGACCGCCCAACCAAGCTTGAGACCCATACCAGACGATAGAAAGCATGATCCGGATCAGCTGCCCAAAGTAGGCACCATTCATACCAAGGATGATTCTAGGTTAGACTGTTAGTTCGATTTACTGCAGCATCGTTAAACCCCCGATTTTGAGATTGAACAGCTACCTTTGAGAGACGGTGAAACCGATATGCCACTCAGATCCCATCCATCCATTGCCAATGACAAGCAAGCATATGAGTACTCTAGCAAGTATCATAAGACCTATAGTCTGTGGGATGGTGAGACCCAGAGACAAAAGGGAAGCTGCACCGGTCCATGCTGAGATACAGAGACTAAACACCTGATTAGCTACCCGCGGACGTAGAGCTCACGTGGAACCATGATTGTTTACTTACTTGGAGATGGAACCGAATCCAAGAAAGGTCCACACACCCCAAGTCCTCCTACTTGGAGGAAGGGGTGCTATATCAGGATTGATCCATTTCGTTGTCTCATAGCCGTGCTCTTTATCGTCGCGAACTCGAAGTCTTTCGAAAAGTCCTCTAGCCATTGTTGCTACAGTCATATGTGTCGCTGAAGGCAACGTAGGCGGGTCCGCTATCGGGCTCCAATTGCCACTATGGCACGAACCAATTTGAGTCTGAGTTTGATAGATATCTACCGTTCAGAGGCTTTGCATGTCGCTAAAGTTCATTGAAAAACTCTAGATCTAGGAGAGAAAGGGTATTTCTGATGCGGTCTTTGTGACACTGAAAAAGTAGGAGCGCAAAGAGCAGACCCGAAACTTATGTCGGCAACAAAGACCGCATATCCCCCCCACGCAAACATGTGGACTGGTCCGACCTCTAGGGCTTATCAGATGGTGGTGCAACTGCATCTGCACGTCGACTTTATCAGATCCATTAATCCCTGAGCATTTCCCTAGGATCAGCAAGGAGTTCCCACCAAAGACGACGCCGATTCACCCCGAGGTCGCATTAGACCCCGCACTTGATCCAGCCACTTGTCGGAACCGTTCTTCAGTTTGTGACTCGAAAACCGGCTCGGTTGAGGAGTTAGAACGGCCGAGGTGAAAAAAGGCTCGATGTCCGATCCCAGCGTGGGTTTAAGAGGGTTTGAAGGGCCATGTGAAAAGCTGAGTGTGCATGACTCTAGTCTCTTATGATTGGACCAGTTGTCACTAGATTTTGAATGCCCTCTGGACAACCCCTGTCACCTTCTTATCAAGATAGCCTACGATGATAGCATAGATAGCTAACAGCTACGCCGCAACGTGGACGGCATGGTAGTTAACGTGATGAAACCGAGACAACGGATACAATGGCTACAACATTCGTGGGGATGGTCTAGGACAACACGTATTTGCAGCAAAGCCTATTTCAACGTCAACTTCCCTTTGTATTTAAAGTTGACCCAATCCAAGATCGTGCCTCTTCTCCGGGCCGATATTGGTAAGGGTAACTCTTCCGAGAGCCTGTGTATACCACCAATCAGACTTCAAAATTAAATTGGCAGGCATTCCCCAGGAAAAGCCTGCGTCAAAACCATCCAATTCCAGTCTCTATCTTCATCTCTAGCTTTCCATACCCTTTCTTGGACGAATTTCCTTGTCCTTTCAACTGTTACTGTTTTGCGATGCGAACCTATTGCGCCAAAAACATCGAGAGCGTCAGCCCTGTCATCTGCATCCAGCATCTCACAGGCGGCCATGAAAACTGGCCAAAGCAGCATCTTGGACTCTGATGGCGGTCCGCTTGTGTAGAGCATCACCTCGTGGGCTTGACTCAGGGCTTCCTTATCCGCTTCCAATGATGAACACGATGGTTGGAACAACCGATGCAGATACAAGAGAGCTCCCGCACGATAGCAAGCCGCTTGAGCACGAAACTTGCGTGCTGATCGAAAAGAAAGGCTGTCAGAGATTGTAGGCTTCCATGATTCCAGGCGCATGCGAAGGGAGTCTGCTCGAAGAGAGAGATCCGAGTAGCCAGTGTTAAGCCCGCTGTCAATGCCCACGGATGGAGATGGTTTGTCCTCAGTGCTAGGGGCTTGAGTACTGCTATTAGAGAAGTCAGGGGAGAGTGCTGGCTGAAGAATCTGCCCCCTAACCTCTTCAGCCAAAGCGCAAAGCTCTTCCAACAACGGCATGAAAGTTAAAGTGTAGCCCAGTAGTCTGTCGGGCTTAGTTTGCTCGTTCTCAAGCCAGACATAGCTTGGAATTTTGGGCCGCTGAAGCTGAACCAATGAGACAACGAGGTCTTGTCTCGCCAGTGCTCTGAGGTAATACCTCGCTACAGAGGAAACGTCTCCCCCCATTGAAATGTGATGGCTAATGAGGGAGGCTACGTTGGACAGGACTGTCGGGATAGTCGCATGGTATCCTGGCTGTGCTAGAGTAACGAGCTGGGCTCAGTGAGCCTGTGAACCATCTCATTGTCTAAGCAAGTCTGGCCAAGCCAAGGCGATGGCGAACGACTTACAGGGGCAAGACTCACCTCCATAGCGCATAGCCCAGAAGCAGAAAGAGAGCTTCTTCGAAATAATGACTTGAGGATTTCATATTCCTCAAGTTCGCAAGTATATTTGCTCTCCGGTCGAGCACCGGCAGAAGGCCACCGATCGAGTTACCAACCTCGTAGGAATATCCGATTGCCGAGATGGTATCGGCGACAACTATCGGATCCTGGTGCATCATCATCACGACGTTGGCGTTCATCTCACTCACGAACTCTGGACCAATCAGCAACTCGAAGGGATGTCTGTTGAAATAGAGCTCGATATGCGGCTGGTCTGCAACTGGTATTGTCCCAGGCGGAAGTAGTGAGAATGTGCGAGTGTCTAACGCCAGCGTCGTTCGACTTTCACCTAGGCCCGGCGCCGTCAGAGGTGCACCTCCACCTTTGATGGACCCAGCCGTCGAACGGACTCTCGGAGCCCTTGATGATGATGATCCCAATGCCAACTCCCCTACTGGTGAACCGTTCTTCACACCATCAACATCAACGAGCGATAAGGGTGAGTGATGAGAATGTTGCGCAGCCTGGGTCTTGTACCCCTGACATACGAGTCTGCGCCGCGCGCAAGTCCCGCACGAGGGGCGGATCTCGTCGCACTTGACCTTCGCTTTTCGGCAGTCGATGCAGCCATTGCGCGAGCGACGCATGGGGGGGATCAAGGGAGGCATTTGATTGTTGAATAAGCCGTAATGGCTAAAGTCAAAAGGACTGGGTGATACAGGGTCCGGATTGATCCTTGACGTGATATTCTATCGCTTCGATTTCGCGTTCAAAGATTGATTCGTGGCAGAAGACACGTCGTTATCAGGAGCTCTCCCTCTGCAAACGCGCGATATTTTTGCAGCTGTGGCTTCTCGAGTTAAAGCCCTCCTTCGGCCCAAGACAGACAAGGGCGTGGTCGCATGGATGGCGGTGGGATGCCGCACCGAAAGCGATAGCATTATCTTATCAGATCATCTCCGTCCACACTGCCCCGCGTGCTGCAGGGGTCTGGTAGAATTGATGAGGGGGAGGAAGACCACTTACGGTGTCACATCGGAGACCACGTCTGAGCATGATCGAGCCTTGTTCGTCCGTTCTTCTCCTGAGATCCACAGCAGGACCCATCGCGGAACGGCAATTGAGATCTATTATGTCGAACGTTTGCACTCGCAGCTCCCTTTCAAAGCTTGTAGGCTCAGCATAACGAAGGACGCAAGTCGTAGAGATTGCGGCATGTTCTGCTATACTCTACCATTACTGCGTGGGTAGTTAGAGAAATCTTTCTGGTCCGTCTTTGGTTTTGCCAGTATTTCTGGAGTGCCAACACAACACAGGCGCCCATGTTGGCCAGTCTCCGATACCAAAGTCTTGATATCCCTGACACCCTGGTCTTGTTTATGTACAACCACCCGAAAACCGGCCTAGTCAATCCAATACAGTGCCGAGGCGCTGCTGTGCTGCTTCGTAGATTCTCACTGAACACAAATGCGACGGTCGTGATAAAGGCCAACAGATTGAATAGAAAATAACGACGAGAGCAAATGCAAACTCGGTTTCAATTGCCTGGAGAGCACAATTTACTTAGTGGAGTTTTTGAAGCCGTCTTTATCGGCTTTGAGAGGGAGAACCATGACTTTTTTAATTCCTTCCACCTTGTTTAGTTGGCTGGGCACAAGGTGTGACTAGATAGGTAACTCGGAGAAATGTGTTTAATGTTATCGAGCGAAGCAAGCTTGCACATCTGCCTACGAAAGTCCCCGATTATTAGGGTCTCGCTCAGTCCGGCGCGGTGATAGGTGAACCGGCGAACAGCCTGTAATTGGACGTGGTTCTCACCAGAGTCCGAATCAGGGACAGATCCACGTGGTGGGAGGACACTCTCCTCCGTTTTCCTGTTTTTTTTGCAAATCTTACTGCTGTATCGACGCCTCACTGCACCTTGCCATGTTCCTCTTCCCGCAGATGGCCGAGTGAGGTTTACGGTGGGAAGTAGCGTAGTCGTGGTCGATCTCACTAATCCTCCTTGTCGGTGAGACTGATGACATCAACGCCGATCTCCGAGTTGGTGTCGCGCTACTGCCACCACCGTCACGATGCCAGCACTATCAAGCTGCAGGCAGGTAGCCAAGCCTTTAGGTGGCAGACAGGCACTCGTATTGCCTGATTAGGACAAGTTCGTCTCTGCTGTGCCACAGACAATGTCATTTGGGGTTATGCTGGTCTGGTACGATGTGAGGCGGTGATGTTCTTCATGATGATCTGCGGCGGTAGTGTACTAGACTAGAAATGACGTTTCTGTTGTGTAGTGCCTCGTGTTGGAATGATTGAAAGGGTTTCTCTCTTCTGGCTGGATTATGGCTTGACCACATACCCTTAAGCACAACTTAACTTCTCAACTCGTCTACTCTACTCTTACCCAAGCCCGGCACAAGTTAATCACCTCGCACAGACTTACGAGACATCATCATTTTCCACAGTATTACCGAAAAGGATTGAATATGCCTGCTGTACATATCAACACAGCCAATATTGCCGGCGAGGTGAGGAGCCTTGTCGCACGAGTCACCTCAGTCCGCGGCAGCAGCGGCCGGGCCAGAGGCGTCAGAATTATTAGTGGCGGTATCATCGCAGCTATTGTAATCGCTGTAGTTGTCCTCATCGTTGCAGTTATCTTTGGCATCTTCATCTTCCGCCGCCACAAGAAACAGCGCGCGAGACGCCAGCAGGAGATGCAAAAGTACTACGGCGACAACCGCTCTAGCATCGGCACCGAGGCACCGAGTGGCCCAGCTCCGGGTCAAGCGAACTTCGGAAACACCAGCCACGGTTATGGCTATGGCCAGGGTGCAGGCTATGGTTACGCACACACTGCTCAGCCAGGACAGGCTGGCTATAACGCGCAGAACCATGGCGGTGTGCCTCCCATGGCGCCCGCTTACACTGCCGATCATGTTACCCATACGAAATAGACACCGATGATCTAGAACTGTTTTTGATGTATTTATGGAAAAAAAACCGAATAGCTGATCGTAATGAAAGCATAAGGGCTGTATATGTTATCCGAATAATTGTATATTGCAGCACGATAGTTACTTCTGAATTCGTTGAGCGATGATCAAATGTTGCAATGAGACTACTTCGAATAAACTGTAAAGTATCTACAGACTGATTAGAGGCTGGTTATAAGCTCATTATACAATACTTGTAATGGCTCATGTGTCATTGAGCATGACAGTACAAATCCTGGAACTGCTAATGCTGTTTCAAAAGAGCTGATAATGAGATCCGATCTTACAGACAGGCAGTATAGCGAGGAAGATGGGAACTGTGTCTGAATATTTTGGCAAGCTGGAATAAGTCGAGCTTGTTGTGCAACAATAAAAGCCGCCCATATGCTATGAATGAAAGTTTTCTGCTATCACAAGACGCCTGGGGTATTTACTACATTGTAATCGGTATTATCCTAGCTTACCACATTAGCCGGAGCGACGCTTTCTTGCGAGACATTGAGATGCGTGCTTTTCGGACTGATCTTCTCTTTCTCTTTGTTCTTGGTCTCATTCCATTCTGCGTGGGGAATTGACATCCAACCCCATATAGCCACAGCACTAACAAGGACAACAACCGTCAGGATACCAGCACCGGCACGGTCGCCAGTGGTTATAGGTGAAGGTTCCTTGAAAGGATTCGAGTTTAAACCGGCATTTGGATCGCCCTTGGAGGTACCACCAGTATCATTCGTAGCCGGAGGGCTGACCTCCAAAAGGCTTTGTACTGCCGCCAGTACGTTCATGGCCTCACCGGCACCGCTTGTCTTGTCTACTGCCGGGTCGATGAACTCGCCTCTCGTCCAGTAGAAACCACAGACTCGCCCCGTCGCGCCACCGGTGCACTGTCTGATAGCCGATGCTGTCGAGTTGCGCAAGACTGGCATGATGAGATCACGCGTCGAGGGCACGAGCTGTGTTACTACAGTCATCCAGCGGTGGAGATAGCCTTTGAAGCTCAGCATGTCCTGTGAGCAGCGTCCGGTTTCAAATTCGCAAGGAATCTCATAGGCAGCGCCATCAGCGAAGAAGTCTTCGATCGCGCGGTTCGCCAAGGCTTGGGTGCGGTCGAGCCACTTTTGCTCTCCCGTCTGAATAGAGTGTTAGGCTGTGCTTGGCCCATCATGCACAAAACATATAACGGGAAACTTACATAGTTAGCGAGGAAAGCACAGCCCTGCATCAGAACACCAATGTTGTAGGAAAAGGTAGCCTTGAAGATGTTTGTACAGTTTTGAGGAACATGGCCGCCGTCATACACCTGCACAAGCGTCAGATACAGATATCGCGCCACACGTATTCCAACAAGGACTTACTCTCCAATTCTCATGGTCAATGTAATTTACAGCCCACAGCCAATCCCAAGTTTCTTCTGCGTATCGGGCGTACGTATCGTTGCCGGTATACCGAGCCAGGCGGGCGCCGATGTTGAAGAAGCAGCCGTTCGAGATGGTATTCTTGTAGTCGTAACCTACGTTGGTTCTGGGTACCTGCCAACGCATGCCACCACCGCAGGTGCTGTCGTGTCTTTCGGGATCCGCTTGGGTTGTCCATACGGCTTGTGCGAGGGCGAGCCATTGTGGTTTGTCTTCCGGCGGATCGGGAAACTTGTTCTCGGCCGCGAGCATTGCCGTCATGCCCCAGAATCCTTGGTCATCGTTGCCGAGAGAGAGGGTGTGGTTTTGAGGCATGTAATCGCGGTCGCTTCCTGTCTGATGCAGCATTCCTTCTGTAATAACGTGGTTGTAGCTGTCGTCGCCCGTATAATACCAATAGTCAACATAGGTCCCCATCATGGCGCCGCCCTGCCACCAGTAGTAATCACCGGTGCCAGAGTCTGGTGGTCCTGGCAAAATGCCGGGGATTTTGCCTGTTTGATTTCCATCGTAGAATTTCATGAGATCGTAGGCCAGTGTGCTTGCGGTTGTAAGGATATCTTCTGTGGGTTGAGATGGTGAGTTAGAAATCTTACATCAGATGACATGTAAGCGTTAAGTGGGCGTTGCGGTTGATTTCATACCTCTTGTGTCGATTGAATACGCTGCATCTACAGCCCCGGAGAAGACCAGCAACGCCACGGGCAAAGCGCCCGAAATGAGGCAAGGCAGCATCTTGAGCGAGTGAATCGAGGGCTCAAGCCGCTTTCAGGTTAGAATCCCACTTTTGAGGAAAACGAGTGACAATTTGATCGAAGGCAATAAATTATCAGTAGCACATGGCGAGGAACCCCGCTACACTGGCAAGGTGACGCTGGTGATGCGACGACCCAGGAACAGGATAGAAAGGTTCTAGAAAAGCGACTGGGGTCTTGGATCAAAAAGCTGCGCAATTGGTCGGTCTTGTACCGACTTTGTCGTTTGGGTACAAATAGCCGCACTTGCAGAAGGATTTGATGTATAAGTGTCAGCTGAGTGGATTTTGCCGCCGAGGTCGAAATCGTACGTGAGCTTTCGGGTCAATGTTCGTATTGGGCGAGAGGGGCGGAGGCCGTTTAAAAATAGCCTTGGAGACCACAATGGAAAAAACAACTGCGCCGCTCGATATATCAATACCGCAAAGTGTTGGGAACACCGGGAGATGCGGAAACGGCACAGCTAAAGCAGGTTCCCCAGGGTGTAAATCTGGGGAAAATATGACGGCGGCTTTCACGTTACTTTTGTTGTGTCCCTTTGCTTCACTTGGCGCGCCAATGGACTCTGTGACGAAGAGGATCAATTCCCGCTGATTCAGGGCCCTGAAGGGGGAAACCTTGGCAACATGAACAAACAGGACAGGAGTCTGCCCAGCGGGCATGAGGGAGCGTGATCCCTCAGCGCCAGAATAAGGGGCTCAGCAACCAGCAGTCAGGCCAACAGGCTAGTGAGGTATGCACCAAGAAAGACGATGACGCGGTAGGAAGTCGTGAAAGACAACACCAAGAAGCACAGCTCGCCTGGGCATTGGGGCGGTGCAAGGCCTGCCATCCAATCTCGATTTCTGCTTCTGCGGACGAGTAGTGCGCCGCCAAGCCAGATACGAAGGCCACGATGGGAATGCGCCCAGGGATGGCGGTCTAGGCAAATGTCTAATGGACTTTGGCGAGCCTGGGCGCAATCCGTATTTGTGAGATCATCCGCCGGACTTTCGGGCCAGGGGGTCTTGGGGTCTCTTGGAGTCTCTTGGTAGCTTCGTCAGCTCACGCAACGGTGACACACACCAGGCCTGGGCGCGTGGTGTAGGTGGGTTTGGAAACTTCTCCAGCCGCTGAGCTTATTTAATCTTCTGAGTAGTAAAAGTCCGATGATATTGGATGAAGTCAACATTAACTACCAGATGGTGTCGAAGGGTCAGCAGCCACTACTATGTAGTAGACGAGGTAATGAATTTCAGGTCTGGGGGCCACAGTTTCTCGCAAAGCGCCAGTGTCAGGATTGGTCAGCTCCCGTCCGAGCTGAGCTACAGCCCCGAGGTTTTGGTCAAGTCTAGCGCCAGCTTGCCCTTGCTCCAACTGAGGCTGATGAAATTGACACCTTGACAGCACTATGGGAGACATTCTGATGCAGCAGCTTTCAGTAGTTTACTGGACCCAGCTTGTGCTGTGCCAGTCTCATCAACCAAGAAATGCAAATCTTGGCGCTCATTAAAGAACATTTCGCAGGTAAAGGACCGAACTAAAACAGCCCCCAATGGCCCCTCACGTCCTAAGGGCGACTTGGAGATCTGATGAGCCAGAGGATTTACAAAACAAAAGGCAGATCCTGGTTTGATAAGGATGCCGCTCTCTTCTTGGCAAATAGTTCGTCCGTTTCTTTGCTCAAGCCCGCACTGTAGACCGTTCCAGAATGTCTGCAGCAGACCCTTCACATGCATGTATTCTATCGTATTACGGAATTTAAGAGACGATTACAACCGAATTCACTTACTCTATGGAAGTGCCACAATGGTATTCTACATGAAGCCTATCAACCTCACTTTGCGGTTGTTCGCTATCATATCGCCAACATTTGCCAATTTCCCTATGAGAGTCGCTCGAACTTCCACACTTCTGTTCTTCTTCCCCCAGGCTGCAATACGTCGCTAGATTGATCCTGATTGCACAAAGTCAAACACTGGTGGCGATTTTGTATCATGATTATAATGCTGGCTCGCGTATGCTTGGTGTTGTCAACTTTAGGTTCAGGCAGGCAGGGTAATGAATGTGACTGAAACCTTTGTTGGAGTCGAAAAGGATTGTGTAAGAGAATTGATAAGACAATGATGAGCACTGCGATGCACATACCTCGGCAGACTCCTTGAAAGCTTAAGTCGTGCATAAGGACCACATTGCATGTGCGATGAAGCGAACCTTGATAACCTCGGCTGGGTAGCTTCAAGGTTTCAAACCTGCAGCGTAATGGTGATATGCACGGTCCGATGAAACAAAATTTGGACAGCCCACAAGAACAAAACCAAGATGATTTCCTGATTTCGCTAGGGACCTCTCACTTACCTCGTATCATCATGGATCCACTCACCATCGTCACTGCTGCAGCATCTCTGGCAGGCGTCGTTCTGAAAGCATCTTTCAAGATCAAAGAAACCGTTGACGCTTACGAAGATGCACCGCAGAATATTTCCGACATCGCCGAGGAGGTGCACGCGGTTCAGATAGCCCTTCGACAGGTTGAGAGCGTCGTGCTCCAAGATCCAGAGGCGATTGAGCGGCTGGGACTGGAAGATGTCTTCGCCATCGCTGTCAACGGTTGTCATGCAACGCTTTTGTCGATAAGCAAAGAGTATGAGGACCTTTTCCTTCGCAGCGACTGGAAAGCAAAGATACAGGCTTTGTGGAAAGACGGAGAGATGACTCGACTCCTTGGTCGACTGGATCGGAAGAAGGCAACGTTAACTCTTCTGACGCAGACGTTAAACTTGTAAGACGCTTTATGTTGCAGCAGCTTGCACTTGAAGATACTGATGTTGAGGCAGACGATCTACTCAAGACATTAAGGCATTGCTGGTACAGAATCAATCGACATTAAATGCAGCGAAGCAAGACCTCAAGGAGCCCGCTGCATACTATCCAGACTTTCGGCCAACGAGTCCAGACTCGTTAGATGAAGGCAGCGTGGCTGGAATTCCGAGAAACAGAGATTCGGTTCTCAGCACTACAGAATTCGATTTCGATTATGACTTGATTAACACAAAGACCTACAGACGTGCTTTGCAAAGATATGCTGCCGGATGCAAGAGAGACGACTCGTCCTCCAGAAAAGAAATCAAAAGTACGCCTGCGTTTGAACAGACTCTCAATTCACTGTTAGAGGAGAAAGATGGGGTTGGAGATCTTATTGAGTTCGACTCAGACACGTTAACACCACGAACGCCGCCATCTCAGGCAACATTAACACGTTTTGACTTGGAGGGCATTGAATTTGACAATCCGCCTGCAACACCGCCCAAAGAACTTATAGCGAGAATTGGATATGGAGTCAACAGTCCCGAAGTCGACATCTCGAAAGCTGACAGCCCAAAAGTTGACCTATCAAGTCCACCAGCTCTGGATATGCCTGACAATACGAAGCCGAAGAAAAAGTTTCCCGCCAAAAGTTTAGACAGGCACTTCCCGCGGCATCTTACAGCAGAGCTCGCAGCAGAGAGGCATCATCGACGAAGAAAACATGAAAAGCCTCCCTTTCTTAAGACGTTTTCACCATCGCAAACATCTGATTTATCACCCAGTCCCAAAGCTAGTGTTCTTCCGGCCTCAAATTCTTCTATGATTGACAGCGAGACGGCTAGCACGAGCACCACACCTCAATTAGATTACAAATTGGACAAGCTCGCACATCGGCGAAAGTGTGGTCGTCCCATACACCACAGACGACGACATGGAAAAGAAGGTTTGCACACACGAAGCTCTGCGGATTCCACTGCCACATTGAGCTCTGTAGACTCAGTGACGGAAGCTCTAGAACATCTGGAACTCCCAACACCGAGGACTTCCGGGAGAGAAAGGGCAAGCCGGAAGCAAGTAGCTTAAAGTTCTACAATTTCAACAAAGCAGAAAACAGATCAGTTGAAATTGAATATGCTTGTAGTCTGGAAAAAACAAAATTCCTTCTCAGCTATTTTCATTACTCCTTGACAAATAATTTTTTTGAATGGCCGTTAACTTTGGACACCTTCTCGTTACTACTATAACTTCACCTCCCGCCTCTTTGAAGAGCTAGCGTCAGCTTTACAACTACAACTGTCCATAGCAAGTAACAATGCTTAACACCCCTTTGGATTTGTAACCTGTCTTTTGGGATCTTGAACGTATAACTGTTCCAACTTACAAAAGCTATGATCTTGGTTTTGAGAGTAGTTATTTTGTATCGCTTCAACGGCTAGCTTCCATCTCGACATGGTTTGCCATATCGAATGAGGACGCTTCACACGGACCATCTTCGTGGCATGATGCCCCAAACTGCGCAACCATCTTCAGGAGTCAAGGCAGAACCACAATGAAAGCTGGCATCACTGTTTGCTCGTTGCACGATGTTTTATTCTGGGCCTGCTCAGGGCCATAAAAAGGAAGGATATCAAGTATCAACAGCTCATGTGATTGAATACAACATGGAGGGGAGTTTAACTGTCCGCAACTTCTCTATGACCATTTGGATTGACGGTTCCACGTTTGACGGCTCTTGGAGCAAAGCTGTCTATGTCGTACATGACTTTGTAACCGAGAGCATTAATTCCATGTAGTGATTCCTTCCTTTCCAACTTCCTCTTTCAAATTATGCCAACGTTAAGAGGAGCCCTACGTGGAAGCATCATAACATGCTGTCTTCTAGCTGTAACTGTTTGACGAGCCGAGGAGTACATTCGCGGACAAGATGGAGGACGTAATGCCTCTAACCAACTGGGTGTAATGCTGTCTACTTCCTGCCGGCGTGCGCAGATATGATGGCTTGGCCCAATCCCGACGCCCGAGAGACGAACTAACCGTATCTTACCTGTTCGTGTTCCAGCGATACTGAAGTATCGCGATGGACTGATTTGACCAGTAACGTCAACTACCTCTACCTATTGTTATTTACAGAGACCTGTGTGGGAACCATTACCTACGCTATTTGGCTATTTCCCAAATCTTGCATTGATCACGCTGACCCAACATAGCCAACGACGATGGCTCATACAACGAGAACAAGAAAAACGTTTTGATAAGTGTCTTTGCCTAAATCTAATATTACTAGTTAAATCATTACAGTACATTCTCCTGAGCCCTTACCTTCGAGGCGAGTCACCTCACGAAGAATGATCCCTTGTGGCACAACATTGTGAGGAAACCAGATCGGATGCGTCAGAATGACGCCACTTATAGCCTGAGGTCGATATAGTCACTGAATTCTAGGTTGCAGACAGTCTTTTGTCCAACGCACAAGCTTGGTCCTCGATGGACTGGATGTTTGGCCATGCCGCGATCTGGCTCAACTTTTGCAAGGTCTTGGTGAAGAGTCTTTCCACCTCGAGAAAATTTGAAGTAAGAGATTCATTCGCCACTATCCTATGGCATGGATTGTAACTAAGTTATCCCAAGGGGTTAAGAACCTAGCTTCCAGCTACCATCCTACACCGAGCGACTGGAAGGCTGCTTACTAAATGACTGGAAACATGTTTGAGGCGAGGATGCTATGATGAAGACCCCAATCATTTTGAATTTGTAATTGACGGTAAATGCTGTGGTACCGCAGTGACGGGTAGATAACCAGGGCAACTTGGAATTTCCCAGCGACATCTCCCCAGGACGCTTTTCGGGCGTACACTATGAACCGAGGCTAGGTTGAGTCACAGATGATAGAGCTACGGCTTTCCAAAATTGACAGGCTGGAAGGGGCTAATGGTTACAGATATCTGACTGCGCAACCGGAAGAGCTTCCCATGCAGGACGCGAAGGGTATCGGATGGGTACGTGTACGCCGCCCTAAGGTCTTGGCACTTTGCAAAGATCCCCAAGAGACCCAAAGGTTCCTGTTGTTCGTGTAGAAATGGGCGGGAACCAGGGTACAAAGTCAGAATTAGCGTCCAAGGGAAGCACGCGAAGCCGTTTCGGGTGTCAATGTCCGGTGCTGGAACATCCGCCTTGCTAACTTCCTCCCATTGCGAGTCGAGATGTCAGAGCCTTAGATATGGGAGGCCAATCCGCCTATGCGGTATTTCGTGGTCATAGTAAACAGGCCGTAATAAGAATGTTTGTAAGCTGCGTAATGCGATGCGTGGCGCCACACCCGGCTGCTCACCGCGTGCTCATCTGGGGACCTTGGAGTCAAGGATCACCGCTGTTGGCAACCTAGGGTTTGCTGGGTCATTTTGTAGCGAGAGCAGGGCTAAGCTCAAAAGAGTGTCGGCAAAATGTCATGTCAGATGGCTATTTTGATTTATAAAAAGTCCCAAGCCGAGTTCAGCAGCTTCTTGTTTAGTGATGGGCCGAGAACACAAGTTCTAAATTGTCATACGTGCAAGTTTTGGTGTGTCAAGGGCCCGCGGTTGACATGTTGTGGATCATCGGCATAAAAGTTCTTGGTTCTGAACCAAAAACTGGGGTAAATGAAAAGCTAAGCTTTGCAGCAGCTCTTGGTATCCGGCTTGGAACTGTTGGTGGCTTGGTAGAAGACTCCAGACCCAGCACACTGGTTTAGGACATGCGCCAACAGAGAGCGGCACCCTCTAAAGAGATTATTCCTGGCGGCTGAATGGCGGCGGGGGTCAGCGAGGGTCGGCGAAATTCCGTAGCTGCTTGCACGCCGGTGGCCTACCTGCTAGCTGTTGAGGCTTGACTCCCGTTCAGTGGACCCTCAATATCAGCTCGGACAAGGATAAAAAAAGTAGCATGGTCTCAGGCAGCTCTCTACGCTCGGCATAATTGGGCGAGGTCGAGAGAGCTTGGATTGGGGGGCGTTTGGGTAGACACCCGCGTTTACCACGATCTCACTCGTAGGCTCGTAGGATCGTAGCCGTCGACGCATGCCAAGGCCAGAAAACCCCCAAACCGAAACCAATCTGCACCCTTGCTGCCCATAAATGGGCGGAGGACCTTTTGTAGCGTCTAGTTTGCCGCAACGAATGGCATGGCAAGCAGGTCCATCAGTCCGATTTCAGTCACATCAACTCATGAGTAAGTCGCGCGTATCCTGCGGAAAGCCTTCCTTGAAGTTGAAAGCCTACGAGTCAGCACGCGTCTTGCTATCGGCCACTTGTCAGATGCAAGGAACTGAAAGCAGTCCTCTCGATGCATCTTGTCCTTTCTAATACTCATTGTGTCAGCCCGCTGAAGAACATGCATTCGGTCTTTGCCCAGAGTTCTACTTTGATGCAGCAGAGAGCAGATATCGAAACTTCATTTTTCGCAAGCTCCTGGAAGTTGTTCACCCCCAGTCACCTGCCCCTTGACGTTGCAGCAACTATTACACTGTCGGTACCTACCGGTTCTGCGATGCTAGCGACATTACTCACACTGGTCTCAAGCATCTGTTGGACCTTCCCTCAGCTGGCCGCTGAAATGTTTCGAGGTTCCATTTCTCTGCACTGGGCCGTCTGATCTCGCCTGATGGTCTCCTAACCCCCTTCATTCGAAACTGGTCCTTTTGATGATCCTCTAGGGCGCGCTAGTGTCACCCTGGGGCGTTCTCGTGTCCCTAGTCGCCGGTTTTGGCGTCCAATAAGTGCCGTCTACAGTAAGACAAGCGGCCGTTGCAAATGTCGCGTATCTCGATTGCTCTTCAAGCTGCAACTGCGACGAGTGAAGTTCTTCCAAGGTTGTTCCTAAAGAAGCTTGACTGTCCAGTCCCTTGTCTCCTCCCATGACGATCGAGCTACATTTCCTCGAGTTAGCCGCAGCTGCTAACAAGAGGATTGAAATGAGATCATGAGATTTGTTTTCTAGAACACCAATGGAAAGGCATACTTTTATCTCGCCAACTAGATTGTAGCCGTGTGGTTAGGCTACAGGCAAGCAAGACAAGCTTCTCGCAGCGGCTAATGACGGGGCACTCTGCAACCTGAGAGTTCCAGGGGATACAAAGGACCTTCCTAATGTGGCATCGATGGACGGTCGATGCTTACCTCTGAGGTGCGATCATGTCCGGAAAGAGGGGAGATTAACAAGAGCAGCACGGGAGGTAGGACGGATACCTAGCATCATAGTAAGCATGTGCCGCGCAGGTCGTTCGTTGTGTAAGCTCGGCCAAAATACATTCCGACGTTGGCGTCCCTGCCTCCATCGAAAAAAAGTTCCGCATGCTTGTCTACCCTGCACCCTGCACGGTGGGCCTCAGTGCCACCGCACCTTGCTGGGAAGACAGGGGTAGCTCAACTATGCTGTGTCTGGGAGAACGGGGGTGTTGTTCGATGGTCAAGCCAAGAAGGGGTTCAATACGACGATACCCTTCACTCTGAGGCCAGTCAAAGGGGCTTCTCATATCGTGTACGGAGTCCTTTGCCTGCTAGACAGGGATTGGGCTCCGGCAACTGTGACTCTGAACTATAGTGTGCTGCCTACGCGGTAGGCTATTATTGAGAATATATATGAAGTATTTCATCCCACAGTCCGTATGTTTGGATTCCCTAGCCCGCAATTTTGTATTTGGCACTGTCTCTCTACATACGATCGCATTCCAAGTTCACACGACCGGCCGGGCTCACCGATACTACAGCTGGTGAAGCCGTTAAAGACCGCGATGACAGAAGAAAAGGTCACACCCGCGCCCGTCGCCCGGGTCGACAGCGCCGACCCGCGCCCGTCATACGCTGGAAGCGCCCGCATCCATCCCGATGAGAAAGGCGCCATGGGCGGTGAATGGACCGAGCCCATCGTCGACACGAAGGTCCCCGAGACCGAAGAGCACAAGGAAGAAGATCTCTACCGTCCTCTGCTGATGGACCCTAGCATCCCGAATGAAGAAAACATCCTGACTGTGCGCGCGGTTGTTATCGGTTGCATTCTGGGATCTCTCGTCAACGCATCTAACCTTTATCTCGGGTTGAAAACCGGTTTTACATTCATCGCTTCCATGTTTGGTGTAAGTCAAGAAAAACCACCTGCTCTAGTTGTGGCGGGTTTATACCAACTCGGTTGTCCATGTAGGCTATTTTCGGATATGGCTTCTTGAAGCTTCTTTCACAAACAAATCTCCCAATCATCGGAGGAACGTTTGGACCGCAAGAAAAGTATGTCTGTTGTATCGTATACTGTTTTGGCAGACACTGACGTTGTTGGAATAGCTCCATCGTCCAGGCCGCGGCCACCGGTGCCGGTGGTATCGCCGGCATCTTCGTCGCCGGTATCCCCGCCATGTACCGCCTCGGAGTCATGGACAGCACGCCTTCTGGTGACATCGGCAAGATCTTTACCTTGACGATTTGCTGTTCCTTCTTCGGACTCTTCTTCGTCACCCCGCTCCGCAAGTTCTTCATCATCCGCACCGCCCGGGAGCTGAAGCTCATGTTTCCCACCTCGACCGCCACTGCCTTGACAATCAGGTCCATGCATGCGGGTGTAAGTGGGGCAAGAGAAGCTGTTAGTAAGCTGAAGGCGCTCGGCTTCGCTTTCGGCGCCTGCATCATCCACCGCGTCGCATCGTACTACGCCATCGGGATCCTCTACGACTGGCACGTTTTCACCTGGATTCACATCTGGAGTGGTTATATGTCTTGGGCAATGAATATAGAGTCTTGGGGGTGGTTTTTTGAGATAACATCAGCCTTTATCGGGTCTGGAATGTTGATCGGAATGAACTCTGCTTGTTCCATGATGGCCGGGAGTATTCTGGCTTGGGGACTTATCGGCCCCTTGCTCGTTCACTACGGCGAATGCATTGGAATAGACGCTTCTGGCGGAGATCCGAACTGGAAAGGTTACTACAGTTTCACATCTCTGAAGAATGTTGGAGTTGGACCTCCTTCGCCCCGATATTGGTAAGCTTTAGTCTGAGTATTCTTCCTATGTTCTCCGACACGACTAACAACCCTAATCGAAGGCTTCTATGGCCCGGAGTGATGGTTATGGTGTGTTCTAGCATGGGAGAGCTACTTGTCCACTGGAAAATCATCTACTTTGGCTTCAAGGCTGGCTGGAAGTCGATTTGTCTGTCAATTCATGAGACCGCCATGAAGCGGAACAAGCGGATCGAATTTTTTGCCAAATATGCGGAAGCTGAGGAAAAACTGGACGCAGACCATGTCGAAGACCCTGCTACGCCTGAACAACAAGTAAAGACATGGATCTGGGTTGTTGGACTCTTTGCGTCCATCATTCTAGCTTGTATTGTCATGGGACTGCAATGGCAGGTCAATGTTGGTGTCACCATATTGGCGCTGGTCCTCGCTTTCCTTTTTTCTTTCCTCGCTATTCAGATTGGGGCCGTTACCGATCAGACACCTCTTACAGCTGCAGCAAAGGCCGCTCAATTGGTTATTGGTGGCACCACAACCGGTGCGGGATACACTGTCCAACACGCTCAACGCATCAACCTCATTTCGGCCGGCTTGGCGGCCGGTGCCGCCGACGTCGCTACGGCGCTTACCTCCGATTTCCGCACTGGTTTTCTGCTCGGTACACCGCCCAACAAGCAGTTCATTGCCCAAGCTATTGGCACGTTTGTGTCGGTTTGGCTCGCTCCCGGTCTGTTCGTCTTGTTCACCACGGCCTACCCTTGCATTACGGATGCCGAGCTTGACCACTGCCCCTTCCTGGTCCCTTCTGTTAGTGCTTGGGCTGCAGTTGCCCAGGTTGTCACGAGCCCTGACGTACCCATTCCCCTGTCTTCCGGCATTTTCTCTATTGTTCTTGGCATCTTTTCCATTCTGCAGGTCATTTTCCGTCACTATTATCTCACCGGTTCCCGCGAGAAATACCAACAATGGCTTCCAAATTGGGGTGCCATCGCCCTATCCTTTGTCATCCCAGGCCCCGTTTTCGTTAACGCTGCCTTCGTCGGTGCTATCATTGCCTTTATCTGGCGTAGGTGGAAGCCTGCGAGCTTCGAGCTGTATGGATACGCCATTGCTGCCGGTATGATTGCTGGCGAGGGAATGGGTGGCGTCATTGGCGCTGCATTGCAATTGGGCAATGTTTCGAGTGACCGATATGGAACCGGCGGCCTTGCTTGCCCCATGGAGTCCTGCTAAATAGTTGAAATATGATATATGTTTAAATGGGAGACCTGGGAATTTTGCTTTGCAGATTCTTTTTGAGCGTTTTCTAGTGATATGTGAACAAGGATGCTAGTGTACATCTCTAGCAGCAGTATACCAACTGTTCATATGGACCAATTTCGCTCAGCCGGTAAAGTCGGCCATGCATTCAGCATGCACTTGACTACAACCTACCCTTATCGGGGCTTTCGATGTTATGGTTGGTGGATGAAGTCGGAGATGTCCGGGATGCACCACCACCGCTGACCCACATCGCTCCGGCTCTCTCACCGGCCGACTCTCCGATGCTATCCTGGAACCTTTCTTTTGAGGGCAAAAACATCTCAGTTGTTAAGTATTGGATTTTGAGCTATATAGCATTATAAATATGTCAAAGTTACGGACAACGTTCGTCCCAAACAATATTTCCCGCACCTTATGAATCCATTCTAAATTGTCAAGTCTCATCGACGCGAGCACAATTCTGGCTGAACATCCCATAGTAATAACCTTTGGATTCAAGAGACATGAAAAAATTGACCAGGCAATCCTGCGAGGGCGAACGGAGCTACATAGACATTCATGTCTACCTCCAGGCGCGCATGTGTTCGTTGACGGACAAGGAAACAGCTCACCTTCTCAAACAGGCAATAATTGTAGCAATGGTCAAATAAAAACGGTATTTTGCAAATGATTCATTTAATGAAATCATGTGAAAATGCTCGACTTGCTATTCCTCGGAAGCAGCTACACCCACGTAGTCACAACAAGATTGTGACTATAAGTGACGGTGTGACATGAGCTACAAGAAGTGGATGGACATCAGTATGGGGAGGCTCCAGGTGGCTCTTACGCCCTTTCCAAACACTGCTAATTCAGATGAAATCACTAAACCGCGCTATTATGTTACTCACTGATTCTTATGGTCAATATCCTCACTGTGTCCTGGGAATGGCTGGTGATTAAGATGCTTCGGGTGGACTTTGAACTCGTCCACAGTTGCCTTAACCTGACCAAGATCAGAATATAGGCTATGCTAAAAAGAATCGATGTCACGACTTTTCGCGTTCATGTCGAGGACGGAAAGATTGCTGACTACACCGACGATGACCGGACTTGGATGCCTCTGCGAGCTTAGACTTACCTCAGGATCGGAATCACCGCATCGATGACATTTGGGAAATATCCTAAATAAATATATATATGTATATGTATTCTTGCTCGCTTGAGAAATTTGACTTAGTACGATGATAAATGGCACGCCACCAAGAATCCATCCATACAATTGTATCTAGACCTTACACAGTTGATTTCAGCAGCTGTTTGGTCTTAGATGGATAGAACATAACCTTCGGTTCCTTCATTACTCCATCTTATATCGATTTTGTCCCATTCAACACCATTAAGCACGCGGATGTTGAGTGGCTGAATTTCGAGCTGTTTTCGCACAAATTCTTGTTTCGCCTCGGGAAGCCTAGCAACGATCTCTTTCGGCGGACCATAGAGATTTACAAAGCAGTGGACGCCGCATATCGAACAAAATGGCGAACCGTTGAACTCGCGACCGAATTTGTAGTCTTGAGCCTGGCCTTGGCCAACAATTGTGACTTGAGATTTATGAGGGTAAAGTCCTATAAAGCCATTCTGAGGAACCGTCTCAGCTCAACTCGAGATTAAAATAGAGAAGGAAAGACCGGCAAACAGTATCGGACTTACTCGGATGCATATGCTGCAGTTGTCTTCCTTGATCTCGACATCAAAGAGAGGCTTAGTTTTGACAGCAACTTGAACAGCGCCGCAGTCACAGCCTCCTGAATAAGACTTGAGGTTGTCTCCCGGTACAGTAGGCCAGGTTCCGAGAAATTCAGCAGGTCGGGCCACAGAGTCGTTCTCAACCAAACTGAAAGAGTATTTAGACCAAGTGGTTAGGCTTTGTATACTTGGGACATACCTTACAGGTCCGGGGTAGGGTTTCATCCCTCCCAGCAAATCCAATGAAATCACCTCTCGGCCCTTGAGGAAAATCCCTTTCGCCTCAGACACAAGTACACGGAAATTGATGCCTCTCTTCCCAGCATAGGCTCCATATGCATGCGTTCCAAATAGCCCTGTTCCACAAGTAGCGCAAAACTGGCGACGTGATTATTAGCGAAGAAAGCTTCATACCAAATAGCGTGATCGTGTGTAGTTACATCATGCTTAAGTTCTTTAGAGTATGACGCTTTATAAGTTGTCAGAGTCTCGACAGTGCAACCCTTTGTGATTTTCAGACTGCTATCAACGTCGTAGACCCACACGTGGCCCTTTTTCGCGCAGAGTGTACAGCCACAGACCACCAGGGAAGGGAGATTCGGCAACTGGACCTCATAACGATTGGCTCCACAGTGACAGTTGCCTTTGTATGTGTGCAATGACACGGACATTGCGCTGCTTCTACGGTATTGGATGTGGGATGGAGTCGCAAGTAGTTATGAAGTGGCCAAAGATGATGGTGATGTGGAAACGCAAGATAAGCACTGCTAGGCTGCCATGGTAAGACGTCCCAGTGCTCATACTCCGAACGGATGTCGGCACCACTATCAAAGTCGGAAAACGTGGGGTATGCCATAATCCTTGACAGCGGGCGCTGACATGCATCAGTCAGACCAGCGAATACTGTACGGATGCGAACAACGGTGGCACGGGTGGATAAGTTCTTCCGAATTTCAGTGCCGCCTTAAACCAGTTACAGCAGGTCAAGTTTCCAAGCAAACGTATCTGAGGGGAAATTACGACCGCTCAATCGGTCTCTAAAGTCCCACTTCCACGGCTGTGGGATTTCACGGCCTAAATCCATTTCAACAGGGGCAGTGGATGAATGACAAAGAAAACTGTAAGCCAATGCTCAAATAAGTGCACTGAAGATCCATCAACACACTCCATGACAGAACGACATTATGAACACCACCTCTCATTTGCATTATTACAAAGTTAGCATGACTCAACGTCGTAACGCGCTGCCACCTCAGAATGGGCCAGCCCTCTCCCATGCATGCACAACAAGTTGACACCATCAAAACGAGGTTAAACCGATAGGCGCTGCTCGAATTTCCCCGGGTGTGAAGAATTCTCTATGCAATTAATTCTTGGTCCCTTAGATTGATTCACTTGACTTCACTAGTGCATAGAGTCATCTACCCGCGTATTGCAAATATATCTTCTTAACCCGTTTGCTGCGGAACTTTCGCTAGGAACTTTTAGTTGTATTTCATCGAACCAAAGGATGTTAGTTCACTCCCGCAGGCCCTGGGCAACTACCTGAAGAGCCCTTAACTGCTGCTGCGGGAAATCTTACAACTGCAACAACGTCAGCTGTTGCAGCAATCGAAACTGAGGCTGCTGTAAGCACACGCACTTTTTGCAAGATGGCTGGATAGCGTTAGAGAGGTGGCTTAAATGCCTCTACATCCCTTGCTGCAAGCGTCCGAGACAATAATTGGAACAAAAAGCATTGCTGTTATGAGTTTCCCGGAGGCCGCTGTGTGATGCCCGATGGCTAGCCCGAACAAGATTGCGAGAATTTGAAGCATCCAATGATGGTCGACTTCAGCAGTAGAGCTTTAATACATACCGTGCCGTTGGAGCATCAGCCAAATATTTTCGGTGTTAGTACCGATGCAGACATTGGACTAGAGATAGTAGATATTCTATGAAAGTCTGTTCTCATAGTGTCCATCAGCAACCACTGCTGCAGTGGGCGAGATTTACCTAGAGTTTGAGATTCATGGCACTGATCTTGGTCCATTCAACCCAACTTTGTACCGCCTAACGTACACATTCCGGTTGACGATGCTGAGGTAGAATGGCTATAATCTAGTGACACAACTGATTACATCCATCTGAGGCCAATGATTGCCGGTTTTGTTCAAACTTTGACCAAAGCTGTTTTTGCAAGATACCAGCCAAACATCACCTTCTGATTCTTATTCACATACCAAAGCCTATTGAAGGAGGGGGTTTTGGCTAAATCGTTAGATCGAGTTCTAGAAGCTGTACTGATGGATACCATAACTACATTACAAGACCCAGCTATACACCTACGAGAATGGTAAACCTGATCGATCAAGGCATGGTAACGCGGGGCTTTAAGCAACTTGTGGCGAAAAAACACCTAGAGCGTCTTTAAACAAGACTTCTTGTTCCTTGCATTGATTCGAAATTCAGACACGGTGATGCAGGAAACCCCAAGCATTACTAAAGGCTGTTCTGATATCAGTTTTAATACATTACCAAGGTTAGTTGCTCTGCACAGCTGAATAATCCTTGCATATTAGTTACTCATCTTTCGGAGGGTTCGGTAGGCTAACGGGGTTTGAAAGGCGACGGGGTCCGATCGATCGATGACGTATCCATTCTCAACGAATCATAGTATCGTCGTCAAATCGTCATCTCACACTAAAATCGGCCTTTATATTCGTCGAAAGATTATATTCAAACAATCATCCCGCATTGCATCGGGTGAAAAAATACAGATAAAACTCATGTTCTCTCAGAAGATCTTCCGCGTAACTCGCACCGTTACCAAAACCTCGCAAAGCCGACCTATAATTTCAGTGCCAGCGCAAGCCAAACGCTCATTTGCGACCAACAAAATGTCCAAATTCTCCACTCCCTCGAGCGATCGTCCTAAAAATGAGATGCAGTACTTCCCCGATATGACTACGGCCTTGCCGTCTGAGTCCGGGGAGTTTCGCCGCGTTCTGTGGACAGGTCTGTACTCGCAATTAGTTCTAATGACAATCCCAGTTGGCGGTGACATCGGTGAGGAGGTAGGCATATAATGGTTCTTGTATTGGTGTTCGACTGTTAACATGACTTCAGATTCACACTGTTGACCAAATCTTGACCTTTACCTCTGGAAAAGGCCTGGCCCAAGTGGGTGGCAAGGAGCAAGAGATCAAGGCTGGTGACATGGTCATCGTCCCTGCAGGAACCAAACATCAATTCTTGAACAAGGGCCCTACACCTTTGATTCTGTACACGGTGTACTCGCCGGCAGAGCACAAGCCAACAACAGTCCATAAAACTAAGGAAGAGGGCGACAAGGAGGAGGAAGACGGCATCGACGAGGCGCCTGAGTGGAGCCAAAGGAGTAAGGAGGAGAATGAGAAGGAGGGATGGGTGAAGGGCGAGTAACTATGTAACTGCAATTATAAATGACCTCAACTCTGTTGGACTAATGTCATTGAACATGGTCACAAAAGGTGACTCATACTCAAACATATCTACGTAATGTATGAAATGTGGCAGCAATAAGAAAATTCAATATGAGCAGGGGTGTCTGACAGTGAGGTGTAGGCACTTGATCAAAAGTCCAGATGGCTATGGTGCTGTACCGCAAGGATGTTCTCTATGGCAATAGTTAATTCCCTGACAGTTGTAGGCAATGTCATAAAAACTCGACAGAGTGTTGATTATTGCAATTGTCCAGCTAATCAAAATAAACCTATCCTTTGGAAATCTTCTGACCGATAAGTTTCCCTAAAGATTGTTGTCAGCGCCCAGATTGCTCTAGATTTTCCACGCCTGTCAGCACCCGAAGTTCTCTGGTCGGAAAGCTTCTCAAGCCCTCAAGCTAGCATCCTGTCGCGGTCGTGTTTCTCTCTTATACGACAATCCAGAGTAGCTTGAGCAAGTTGCACTGGAGCTCCGAATGCGGCAAATCATTGGAGCTGCAAGATGAAGCTAATAAAACGCAAAGAACAGTTGCTGAGAAAGAAGGAAACATCTTTTTCAATATTGTCAAGTTTGAAAGCCAACGAACGACAAAATTTTGAGGCAAAACTCTCTCGTAGGGAATCACAACTGACCAATGCAGCCAACTTTCCGATAGGGCAGCGTTTGAGAAGAAGAAAAACATGATGAGTGATTGATAAGGCATTGTCATATGTAAAAGACGGAGAAAGGACGCAGTTTCGGAGCTTCACCAAGAAAACTGCTCGGCGGTTGTAGCATAGAGTATGAGTAAAAGGCTGGTTCAAAGGCTTAGGCTTTTATTAGTAAATCTCCTTATTCCTTGAAATAACTAATTTCAGAGAATAATTAAAATACAGCGTTGCTCTCTAAACCATGAACCTTCAAAGTTTTCCAGCCAGGTGATCAGCGTAGAGATCCGGTAAGAAAGAAGCCAAGTTGGTGAACTCAGTCTGATCATGTATGAAGTGCTCGTAAGCAATGTTTTCCCCTGCCATGCGGTGCTTGAATCCAAGTGCACCTGCAGGGTAATCGATTCCAATTTTCATGCCAAAGAGTTTGTAATGAATCCCTCCACCAAGCCAATATCGACTTCGTAATTCGAGCCCATCCTCGGTCTTCCGCCATAGATGCAAAAAGTCCCCAATCTTTAAATTTGACACTAAACCATCGCGCAATTCCGCGCAAGCAGCAGCCTCATAGCCAGCCGCTTTGAGTTCCTCCCACGGCAGGCCGTATTGGGCAGGGTCGACGAAGTGGATGTTAATGGTCATTTTGGTAGCACCGACAAACTCTGTTACACGGTGCGTAGAGCCGAGCCACTTTTGTGTGTGAGAGAGGTCGGTGCGATGCAAACGATCCGCGTAATTCGAACGTACGCTTAGATGATCGTACGGAAACCAAAGGGCGTATCGCTCGGGCTCGAAGCTGTGCCACCAAAACCACCAGCGGACCATATCTCCAGTCGATCCCGGGAAGCGCGTTCGCGACGTGACGTACGCGGTCCCATCCGGAAGTGCACACCAGCCATTTTCATGTTGGTGATAGCCAGGTTCCAGTAAGCGACGGGAATCCATGATGGGCAGTACGCCTTCTTCAGGCATCGGCTCACGTATGTATTGTGGAATATCGGCGTAAATGTACAGTTGTTGATTGAAATACTTGGCGTACGGCTTGTCTTTCGTGCGCTTTTCATTATATTTGAATGCCTTTTGCGTGTCCAGGGGATAATAGGTAATCGGGACTTTTGCAGGATAGCCATCTTTGTCCGGGTTCTGTAGTCGATTCGAGGTTATGGTGTTGCTAGTTAGTGTTGGCGATATCAGCTGGCCTCGCAGCGCAGACAGCCGCGCTACGGATCTTTGGCGTAACGAAGTCGACTCCATACTGCTCTTTAAGTGCTGTCATCTGTTCCAAAACTCAATATAGCCAGAATGATGCATCCTGGAGAGTATTCAAGAGGCATTTTATAGTTTGTTGGAGGTTGCCATCGTCGAAGCTTGTGCGTAAGCCCCCTGGTTTGACTCTTGTCCGATGTGGTGTTGACCTCGGCACATGTGCTGGTGAAACCTGGTAGCTGCAGCCGCCGACCTATCGGAGTCTGACCTTCGGGCTTACGCTTACAGCGTGCAAGTGTGAGAATTCAGAGTATATCTCTATGGCGGATGCAAGCAGGATAATACAGTCTGAATGACAGTAGAACTAAAAGATGTAGAAACTGTTAACGTGGAAAGAAGAAGTAATGAGCGGGTTTAGTAATTCAGAACCGCAAGTTTATCAATTTGATTGGCATCACTGGATGAGCAAGTTGAGAACTTGATTCCTCGGTGACAAATAATTACTATGAGCCTTTGTATGAACCTGCCCAAGATTCAGGTGAAGAAGCCAACTCCTCGACCTATAGGCCAATTTCATCGATCTTTTATTCTGTAGAAGACTTCGTAGGTTTTGTCAACAGAGCGAGAAATGTAGAGACTGGAAAGAGCACACTAATAAACACTCTTACTGTTTAGCAAAACTGGGCCAGTTGAAACGATGTATTGTATCTCTTGGTAGACCAAAACTTTTATAGATGCTTTTTATACTCCTCAGGCTTAACATGGTGTTGATGAATACATTTTGTGGCTTTCGTGGGTGCCCCTTGACATACATTCGGCACTTAGTTCAATCTTGTCGTTCCGGTCGGACACTTTCAAAATCCTACTGAATCAGATGACTCTGAACATGTTTGACTTGACGTTTCTTTTCAGTCCTTCGGCCTTCCCGTTCTCATACTCGACGCCTGCTGCGCCTCCCTCCCCTGACATGCCCTCAAGCTTCAGTCGCAATTCCTCGTCTAACTCTGCCATCGTCTTCTTCTGCTGCCTATGTAGAGGTGCAACGCTTTCGTCGGCCGGTGTGGCTTTTGTCTGGTCACGCGGATTGCCTTGAGGGCTCTCGGTCGTCGGTGATATGGACTTGGTGGTCAGGTGCGCTGCCAATGCGAGCGCGTTAGGCAGTGTTGCCGGAAAGACGAGGGCCGGCGCAAGGCGCCGTACAGGCAACTGTTTGGCTAAACGTAGCATCGGAATAAGGCTCTTTGAGTGTATTATGTCCTGAAGTATTTGAGGTTGTAGACCGAAATGGAGAAATTAGGTTTGACGTGACGTGGTGCGGGTTGGAAGATGTGGTTCGACATGTTGCTGTCTGCGTCATCATTTGTCATGAACGACAGGTAGCCCCTGCTTTTGTGAGTGAATATGGGACACAGAAGAAATCCAAATCACATAGCTGTTGGAGCAAAATTGCATAATAAACTGCATATCATCAGTGTCGACATGAACGTCGTCTTTAATGTTCGCTGCATTTTTCATTTGTACACTTTCTATCCTTCCCCGTGATATTTTCACGATCGTGATGGGGTGGTTATTTGATAGGCTCCATTTCCCACACACGCAGTGAGTGTCGACTTTTATGCGCCCACCTACCAATTGTCTAGTCTACACCTCATCACTTAGACATGTTTTTTCACCTCAGGATTTAACCCTATTGTCAAGCTCGTTGTCGATGAGTCAGCAACTTTATTTTGAACCCGATGAAACCTGGTATAAATTCATGGCTTGACACTATTGAGATGATGCATCCCGGCGGAAGCATGCGGGTTATTTGCCTTTTTGAGTGCTATGATCCCAGTAGTCTGTCCGAGCAGCTCAGAGGTTTCCTTAGTGAGCGCCTAGAAGGTAATTCCATCGAAGAAAGTAGGATTCGCCCTCCGTATCCCATACTTGAATGATGAATCCTCTCGGCTGGAACCGAAAGCAGGCCGACCCAAACCGGCGATCAGAGCACACGGTCCCGCTTGTCTTACTAACCAAGTCCCATAACAACAGGGGTGTATATCCTCCACAACGACCCTGCCAATGAGACTGTGACGCCCGTAAATCATGCCCCGTATCATATCATGGAATTATGTATGCCTAGCCATTTGTCAAAACGAAAGCGCCTTACCGGGCGCACCGTTGTCCTTGGCTGCAGATGGCGGTAATATTTCCAGGGTGCATGGCCTCAATTTTGGCCTCAGCCACTCGCGAATGCCAAGAAACTAATACGATGCAAGCTTTTCGAAGCAATGGTGTGCTTACAGGCGGAAGGTACTTGACAAGATATATCCGGAAACCTCCCTCCACCTTTTTGTTTTTCGTCGCGCAAGCACTCCTCCGCACAGCTCACAGTTGCCTTTAACTGTTTCACAACCAGACTGAACAACACGGGAAATCAAAGCCATCAGTCCAAAAACTAACTTAATAATCATGGCATCCAAATCGTCTATGCTAGACATCGAGGACGTGAAACCTCCAACCTACGACGATACTCTTGCAGAAGCAAAGGAACAGATCAATTGCGGAGAGACACCGAGCTTATTTCTGGACAAAACCACAATTTTTGCCAATACATCACCACCTCGCGCCCTCTATGAATTGAGCAACGTCGTCACAGAGGCAAAGTCGCTTGTTTACGGGGTCCAAAAGGTCGTTTACAGAGTAAGCCCAGCAGTCGGCAGCGACAAGATCAGGACAAGACTAGATCACATCTACGACTTCACCCAAGATCCTCTAAAAGGACTCGAAAGTTTCAAAATGCAGCTGAACGACGTGATTGTTATCCAAGGCCAGAAGAGTTCGAAGAAAACATACAAGGAAGTGCACTTGATGCCCGGTGTGGTTGGATGGAAGGTCAAGGATCACTTTAAGGTCGGCGACAGTCCTGCGCATCAGCTGAAGCATGAGAACAAGGTTCACTGGAAGAACACGAAGGGCGAAGTGATTGCTATTGAGACACTGCCCAAGCGAGACAAGCAGAGGAGCTTGCTCAACATGCCGCAATTAGATATCAAGGTTCCGATGGAGAACAAAGATTTGGACCTCCTGGTTACGAGTTGGATGGCGAGACTCTGGCGACAGTCTGCAGATGAGACCAAGGAGCCTATGACGTGGCAAGACTGTAAGTTAGAGTCCCTTGGACAAGTGACACAAAACGAATCAACGAATATGCTAATGCTTGTTAGTCAAACAGATTTCCAAGATCGCGCTCAGTAATAACCGGCCAGGCGTTTGGATGCTGAGTGGATGAATTTGTAAGGATAGAAATCTACCATGTAGGGCGTTTTTATTCTCATTTCCACAGGTACGAAGTTGAGATACCCATTCTCCTTGTTTTGTCCAATGCAAACTTGAGGACATCGCTATGTAAGGCCGCTGTACCTAGCGAGCCCAATATTTGTTTAAATAGATACGTTTCTTCTGGCTTTGCGCTTACAAGTAAGAATAAATTCACGTTTCGGAATATGCATCCATGAGTACTGTGTTGAATTATGATAGTCGCATTCACTCTCAGGATTTGCAAGCAGTACCTTGGAATCTGGCCTACCGTCCAGACTTTGGAGTCCACAGCCTGATAACGCTGATCCTGTTTCCACTCGGCTCATCGAGGAATGAATGAAAAACAGATTCCTCTGCATAACGTATAGCCCACAACATGTTGAACAAGTACTGAAATACAGTCTGAGTCTGGTGTAGCCCGACGTACTAGCGTGATCCTATTCTTATTGCCACGCGTATTTCTTCGAAAATGTGGCTCCCGGATAGGTACCAAAAATAAAAATAAAAATATAGCCAGGAATATTCCAGCCAGTTGGGGGGCTGCGCTCTGTCTTCCGGTAAACTTTGACAGGAGAACAGAACATCCCCGAGGACATCCGCCAAGCACGTGGCCTGATGGTGCGGGGCAATGAAACATGCTTGCCGTTGTTGGTGGTCAAACGATGACACGACTGACCCATTCCCGTATTGATACCGAGAAACTTGTAGGACCAGGAAGCTGGGGGACCTGAAGTAACGCCACAGGACGATGAAGCATAAAAAGACCGTCACCGTGCTTCCATTTGTCCAGCTCCAATCCTGATGCAAAATCTACTTTGCACCCTGCCAACAAGATCAATTGCCTGTCCAATCACATTCTCTATTCACATTACTATGAGAGCTGCAAGATATTACGGCAGAGAGGATATCCGAATCGAACAGATACCGGAACCTCCTTGCGGTCCAAATCAGATCAAGGTAAATTATTTTCAGTTTGTTCCGACTTGCGCATGATATTTCCGACTCCGTGTGGGGATGACATAGGCAGCATCCTTTTTCAAGACCATTCCATCACTTACCATCGTTCTGCAATTGCTCCAGATTGCCCCGGCGTTTGTCGGGATATGCGGAACCGATCTCCACGAATACCTCGGTGGCCCCAACTTCTGCCCCACCTCTAGGCACCCAGTCACGGGCGATGCGATCCCCGTAACCCTTGGCCACGAATTCTCGGGCGTCATCAAGGAGATTGGCTCAAATGTCAAGGCGGATCATCTCAAAGTTGGTCTTCCCTGCGCCGTGCAGCCAACAGTCTACTGCGGAGACTGTGCAGCTTGCAAAGCCGGCGCTGAGAACGCGTGCCATACCGGAGGCTTCATCGGGCTCAGTGGCGGAGGCGGAGGTCTGAGCGAGGCGGTGGCTGTCCCCGCTGATCAAGTCTTCCCTCTACCCGAGGGAGTAACTCTCGAGCTGGGCGCATTGGTGGAGCCGCTCTCTGTTGCTTGGCATGCCGTCGCTGCCGGTCCCGTCACACCAGAGTCAACGGTTTTGGTAATGGGAGCTGGTCCAATTGGGTTGGCTGTTGTGCTTTGTCTCATTGCAAAGGGCGTGAAGAATGTCATCGTTGCAGAGATTGCCACTGCTCGTCAAGGATTCGCGAAGGAGTTTGGGGCTACTCACATCATTAATCCCAAGGAGCAGGATGTGTTGAAGGAAACAATGAGAGTCACTAGTGGCATTGGAGCTGATGTCGTGTTGGATTGTGCAGGGGCTCCAGCTAGGTACGAATGTCTATGCACATGTCTGAACCAATGCTGATACTTCGAACAGCGTGAAGGCTGCATGCGCTGCTGTCAAGACCCGTGGAACAGTCATAAATGTTGCCATTTGGGAAAAGGAAATCCCATTCAATCCCAATTGGATCACAGGGAGAGAAAGCTCATACAAGTCGGTGCTTGGTTATCAGAGAGCAGATTACCAGGCTGTTATAGAGCATCTAAAAACAGGTACAGATATAGATATAGTCCTTAAAAACTAGAAAAAAAGACTAATAAAATTACTAGGTGCCCTAAAACCCGCATCCATGATTACACGAAAAATCCCACTTGACGATTTGATCGAGCATGGCATCAAGGCCCTGATTACGGATAAGGACAATCAGGTCAAAATTTTGGTTCATGTGAATGCCTCCTTTGCAGAGAAAGACTCGCTCTGAGCAATGAAGAACCAATCACTATGCTGGCTACTAGCTATATGAGACGGGGTTTGGATGCTGAAGTTATGACTCTATGTATTCAAACTGCAGGTACACTCAGAGAATGAAGAGGTCCCTTTATCGGTAGTTGTGTATGCTCATACATGCTTGGCAATGATTGTCCGGTACTCAATTTACAGTCAGGTCCTTGTCGATGTTTTCGGAGAAACTCAATGAGGGACATGAGAGTCATGAAAGGCTTTCACTTCTCTTGGCCTTGTAAGCAGCTAAGTGTTTAAAAGCTGGGCAAGCGCGTTCCGTGTGCTTCGCCATCCTCCATGTCACCGAAACCCAACAATAGTGCAGCCTCGTAAAGTTTTGTGGCCACTAGTCCTACATGTGTCGTCGACAGTCGGGATTGTTACTCGACAAACGGCGTCAAGAACAAAAACGCGAGGCCATGTTCCACCGGTGAAGGCAACGGTGCGACTGCATGATGTTACATAGAAGATTATTGCCTTGCCAACGGCCTTAGCTTCAAATGAGGGGCTTGACAATGTAGGTTGGTGGATGCACTGATCCGACTTTCCGAGCCAAAGGATGTCCGACGTACTGTGGCAGAGAGAACCTCAGTGATGGTTAGTCATCGTGAATAGTTTCTGTGTTTAGAACCTCCAAAATGCAGAGAACTACTGCGAACTACATCTATTCTAGACCCTGGCTCTCATCAGGCTGTCTGGTGGGTGACGATGATAAAGCTGCTTGCAAGAGTGTGGAGAGTTGCGCAGCTAGCAACTTTATAATTAACTCCGGCAAAATCATGGCAAATGATGCCCTTAACGTTGAGATAGGCGCCAGGACAGCTGCCGGCACATTTATGAATATCACTAGGACCCCCACGTTCACAGTCACGATCTTGAACACTAATGTTGCAAAACGCTCGATAGATGCAAGTAATTCATCCAAGTCATCACAGGCGGCACCTTGACAGTTGGAGACGCTGACACTGGGTTTGGTGGTGGTTTACTGTTGGCGATGGCTCCTTGGGCGTTGACGGTAATGCTCCTGCGCGAAAGGAAGAAGGCCACAACGGCAAAGCTCCACATTAAGAAGCGGGTTATGGGGTCTTAAAAGAAGCTATCCTGTTAGGTGCGGGGTGACGCCAAAACCGTCATTTCGAACCAAATATCTTTTTTACTCCAAAAGACATTTATATCCTGGATTCCCGACTAAATCAAACCCAATAGGCAATGAGAGTCATTGCTTACTATGTAAGTAGTACGGATACACAGTCTCTGATGATGAAGATATCGTTTCTGCCGGTGGCGTAACGGGAAATCGCCGTCGTAATTACTTTGTGCTCCTAATCCGAGTTGTCGATTGTTGAGCATGAATGTTACTTCCAGTCATCTTATGGACCATGGTGAGGACAGCTCACAAGTAATTATGTTGTCCGAGTCAGTGAGAGAAGGCCTCCCTGCTTAGCACCTGATTCTATACATTGGTTGTCCATAGCAGGTCACAGGGCTGTGTTCTCCACAGAAATATAAGTGCTTAAAGCATACCTAGCCAGGCAGGGGAAGTACTATCCTATTTCTGGGGTAACCCTATGATAGATACACATCAGTCTCAGGAGGAGTGAAGTGCTTAAAAAAAAGAATGATAGGGCCGCGTAACGTCATATAGCCTCGAAACTTTTGAACGAAATACGCATGTAGCTAGAATTAAGCTCACTTCCGAGAGGGTTCGGACGATGCTCATCAAAGTGAACGAGTAGGGCGGAAAAAGCGCTTATCAAAAAACGGTTGACCTACATCTACACCTGGCTTTGCCGACTATATGCCTATTGCACGTTCGTTTTTGGCCATATTTTTGAGATGCTGAAAATCATTCCAAAGAATCCTCGATTCAAGCTTCGGCAAAACAGCTCATTGTGCGGCAATTGCAAGTTTTACTCTTGGTTTCCGCTGTGAGATCAAGTTATTCCATGCCCTCCGATGGCCAACCCGTTTCGGATTCTAGGGACGACAGAGGTGTCATGGTTGAAAGAAACATCAACCCAGAGACCGCATTCTACCCACGCTATTCACGAACCCGCTCTCAGGACTACCGAAACAAGACTTCTATTTAAATCCCCACGACATTCTCTTCCTTAATCAATGAGAGCAGTCACGGTGTTTCACCAAGTTCGTCTAGTTTCATTGCGCCATCGTCTACGACAGCTCCCATAACTGTTAATAACGGGGAAGCCGTGGCTGTGGTCGCCGGCGCGGTGATTGTGGGAGGTGCGTTGGGAGGATTTGCCAAAGCTCCTTCTGGTGCGGTTATCCCGATCGCAGAGGGGCAGAAAGCCATGTTATCGATGATTTCAGGAGGTGGAGGTGGTGGCACGCCTGAGTATGAGCTGGAAGCAGTCGAAGACAAAGACCGTGATACGCCTGAGTCTATACCGGACAAAAAGCCCACGAAAACCCGTGATATTCCTACCACGGCCGCCACTGAATCTGATTCATTCAACACGCTGAATTCTTCGAATACATACGAACCATGGACTACGGTTTCCGAGACGTCTAACACGATGACGACTGCCTCCAGCACTGCAACGGGGACATAATCCTCAAGTACAACGTAGTCGGCTTTTCAACAAGTGAGCTATCCTGGTTGACGTTTTCATTAACTTCATCTGCTTCTTCAATTGTCCCTCAGGAAGCCAACACACTCATCGACTGGATTAACCATGACAAGGTTGTTGCATTTACCCAGAATGTTTCTCAGTATCTCAGCTTAAAAATGGTTTCTTAAGCACTTAAAGTCACAACCAAAATAGATTAGTGTATTTATATACACTATCAAATCGTTACTATGAACGAGTGGAAGACTTATCTAATTATCATCGACGTTAGACACTCATTCCACTCCAACCCAGAAACCCCGGGAAGCTCTCTGGGTAAAAATAATGGTACTTTTAGGACATGTTGTATAAGTTTGGACCGGATGCGGTGATTGTGACAAACGACTTGCAAGTCCCCGAAGGAGCCAATCAAGAAAATTTAGTCCATGTAGATATGTGGTGTTTGCATTGCAGAAAAAGAATATTGGCCATGGTCCTTGCCTCATTTATTCCATTTCTGTAGAGCTGGGGCTGACTGCACCGGTAACAGTTACTGGGTCATCCGGAATATCAATCTCATCCGGCTGCTCTGAGATGCAATCAGCATCCGTCGGCAAGCCAGCGAAAAAGCCTTCCCGGTACGCAGCGTCCAACTGGCTCTGGAAGTTTGCATCGTTGAAGGGCGCCTGGGTCTTGTCGTACTTAACGTCGGTTAGTGCCTTTTGCGCTGGCTCCGGGAGAGAATCCCAGCTGATGAGAGTAGGCTGGTAGACGAGGTCGCCGTCAGCTCCAGTGAAGGGGGAGATGGCTTTATCGTGAATCTTCATTCTAGGATTTGTGGCCATGTCGACGCCCACACCTGAAGGCTTGAAGGATATCTCGCCAGCAGGTGCCGTTGCCCAAGTGAGGTGGTCGGATGTATAGGATATACCGACAGGCCAGAGAGCCGAGATATCGTCGGTGTCACACCCCCATTGGTTAACCCAGACGACGACGCTAGCCCAGTAGTGGCGGTGGCCGTTGCCGTTTCCCTTCGCCCAGCGCACCTTTGGAACATAGTAGCTGTAGATTATTCCTATGCGGCCTTGACTTGTTCCGCCGCGGACGTAGACCTGGGCCTTGCCGCCGTGATCACACCCACTTCTTCCGCCACCAGTAGGTTTCAAACCAGCTCTATTTAGAATGCAGTTAGCTACTGGTGACATGTAGCGGTAGGAAGAATTGATCAGAAAAAGCTAGGTGTTGCAACCACGCCTGCTTATCCGAGGTTACCACTGGCATCGACCGCGGGATACGGATCGCAGCCTCCCGCAACGTAGAGGTAAGGATTGAACCGAAGCTCGACCTGTCCTCCGAAATCGGCACTGGCATTTTGTGTAAATGCAACGACCTTGTCATGGTCAATCCAGTTGTGTCCACCAGGGTCATCACCCCGTGGCAAAATTGACGACAGAACGGCATGAAACATGACCAGGCCGCAGCCCAGCAGAGTGCGAAGAGCCTTCAACAACATGGCTTGCAATAAAAGTGTCAAGCTGAAGGAAGAGACTGTGAGTAACAAACGAACGGAGTGAACAAAAGCGTCATCGAAAGCGGTCAAGCGAAGGTATATAGAGTAAAGTTCTCTAGCTGTGTATGTGTACGTTGGAGACGCAACGAAGACTTCTGTGGGCCAGTGAGGCGTTTTTGTGCTACGATTATACTGCAATAACTGTAAGTGAACTGTTGGAAGGGCTGATGAACTTGGAGTCTGTCGGTTTTCTTACGGCGAATCAATCATCCCAAATTGCGATGGGCAATCGTCGCTTATCGCCGCTCCTTAGTAAACTGTATTTAATTGCAGTATATTAGTAGCCTTAATAGGTGGCTAGAGATATAAAATCAGCTTAAGACACCCAAATAGCTCGGGTGCATCTTGACGCTCTGACTTTAAAAAAAAAAACCTCCTCGAGTGGTATTTCATGCACTTGTCGTATGCAGATGGTGATCAACAGTCCCACTTTTGACGAATTGACATAACTAATGCATTCAAGAAGAGCGGCATCACAAGCTTGAAAACTTTTTGAATTTTAGCGAGGCGGTCAAAGGCAGCAAATACCCAGGATCTGAGTGCCTCTGCATGAGAAAGCATTAGTAAAGGCCAACTTCCTGTATCCAATTGGACTTCTCACTCACGAAGTCAGTTGCCGGCCCCTTCCAGTTCAATCGAGCAATGGGAAGATCAACTCAATCATAAACTTAGTACAATCCAGACAATAAGATCAGCTTCATTACGAAACTAAAGCCAAGTAGTGGATGGAGACCCCTGTAGAAACCCAGTCAACGAAACGGTAACCGACGGCGGAGCCTCGGGAAACACCGCATAGTACCTAGAGCATGTGGCTAAAGTACCAGTTTTTCTAGAGCTCTGCTAACAATCGATACGAACTCTGAACAATGCACCATAAAGCGAAGGAGTCGGCAATGAGATTACTGGTTCAATTGTTATTATTTTGCTCTGAGGTTTCTATTGACGCCGCACAGTGACCAATTGCGCCGATCATAACATTTCGATAGCCGCTTTCACCGTGGACGTAATTGTGTCATGGCCCAGACAGCCAGTCAGCACAACCCCATAGCAATTTAGGTTTAATCTCCAATGTCCCATAATATGAAGCTACTTGTTGTAAGTCAGCCATAACAACACAACAAAATGAGCTTTGAAGATGTCTTACAGACCCATTCAGCTACCATCGAGAACATGCGGCAATCCTGAACATCACAGGTATGACACAGACTAATCAACCATATTCATTGTTCAAGGGACAGGCAATAGATGGGTTCAAGCTAGTCTTAGAACACAGTGCGCAAAGTAGTGTATACCTAACTTATAGATGTGAGAAGCTGGTAAACAAAACATCGTTTTGCTCAATCGACCAGATCGCGCCTAATCACAAGTAGTCAGGTACTCTTCAGCTTGTCGCTGTCCGTCATCATCGTTGTTGGTCGTTGCTACTGAAGATAGCGGAACTCCGCTTCGTCAACCTTTTACTTACATTTTACTTGCGTTCATCTGTGCTATTATGCTCGCCTACACCACAACTCGAATCAACCCGTATCACAACCCAGACCCCTGACATCGCGGAAGGCTGCATCAAGGTCCGAGGTAAAAGATATTGGCAAGAGTGTCACCTCACAAGAACAAAGCCGAGACCAGGCAGAAGCCAACCAAAGAAAAATCGATTCTAGACTTCCGTATGCTCTCAACAAAAATGACCACCTGGGGTATCGAAACTTGTTTACTAGCAGCACAAAAGCTTCAAGTTTCCATAGTATTTCAATTTCAAGATATTCACACCGGAGCTCTTTGTTCAGTCACCAAACCTTTGATTAAACAACCGGCCAGCACAGTAACCCATACAGTTAGAACGTGAGCTACGCCAGACCATCGGCCAGAGCTACGGCCCACGCACAGAGTCGACTTCAAGTATGTACTTCAAGACTCAGAACAGTTACTGTTAACATGTCCAGTCCGTAGGTATTGACTATTTTACCACGTCGAACACAAAATTAACTGATCCTCGTCTGCCAGATCCAAGAACCCGCTTCCCTGAACCAGCTACATCCCCGCCATTAATATCCCTAGCAGTCCCAACACGTCCATCAACAACACCAGCACTGCCAAGCTCACTACCCCTAACAGCAATGCCTTTGGCACATTCCCTTCTCATGCCAGGTTTATCCGGCTCGGCCAACGGACGAATCGGTAAACCAAGCTTGCTCCTCGAATTTTTGTATTGGCCTTTGCGGACGCAAAACTGGTAGGCAGTCTTCTTAAAGGTCCCGTTGACGACAACGGCAAGCTCAAAGACCTGGCCTCATATTCGGTATCAAGCTTGACGTTGAAGCCGAGGTTTACCTCACAGCATGGGTCCAGGCTGACATCCTCATTGGACTATACTGGGCTCGCCTGCAACGAAGTGCCCGAGGTTGGCAGGTCGAAGATTAGGGTTGAGTATGGAACTATCATAACGAAGTGTCTGGGCAGGAGTGAATGTGGCTCGGTCAACATTGTGAAACATTGGTTCATTTCTTGGTCACTGGGACGAAAAGGCGTATTAATGGCACCTCGACTATAGTTGCAAAAAGTCAAAGCACCCACTTTTCGGCCACCCCTGCTTTTCGGCCACCCGAAAATGCCGCCTAGCCACCCATTTTCTAGATGCCCTCCAACTTCTAATTATCATAACATTTTCTATTCTTTATCAAATCGCTTTATTTTTTTAGTATCTATACTTTATAGTCTAATGGTCTAGTATACCGAATTTGAAGTTAATTGAGCGCTTGCCGACATTGCAGATGGGGTATCTGCTCGCAATGCCTCTAAGCGATAAGGGGTACTACGATTAATACTACAAAGTCGATTAAAGGGCAGCTAACCTAGAGCAATAGCATTTAAAGACCTCTAAAGGCTCTCTATTAGTTAAGAGGCTAAGCTAATAAGCTGAGTATAAATACAGGCTGACTTTAGGCTTACGCTAATGTATTAGCAAGTTAAAGAATTTGCTTAGTGTATCTTGAATACAATAGGTAATACCTAGCCTTTAAGAAAGAGATAATTAGATGCCTTTATATAAAGAAACTTATCTATTAAGGTCTAAAAAAGTTAATCTATTAATTTTAAATATATTAATAAAGTATTTATTAAGATTATTAAGGACTAGTTTAAATATCTTATAATCCTAATAATATTAGCTATTTAATTAACTAATAAATTGTTACGACCTAACAAGCATAATATAACCAGGGTTGCCCTATAGGCACCTAGCGGTTACAAGACAAGGTTATATACGGGATGCATAGGAACACGTTAATCCCTCTTAGAACAGAAGAACTAAGGAAAGTTATATAAAAATAAGAAGGACTAATAATAGATAAGCGGTCTATAACCTAGGACTAATATACCAAGGATTAGTTCTTATTAAGGACTAACTTCAGGAGATTAGTCTTAATAAGGTAATAATAGGATATAAGAACAATTGTTTTAACTAGACTAGATACCTTCTATAGTTCTTTAGTAATTAACTTTATGATTTATTTTCTTATAAGTGACTTTTAGATTATTTTTTTATTATAAAGCTATAAAGTTATTTATACTTAGATATACTTAATTAATTACTAGATATTAATAGACTAGTAAAATTACTAATAAGACTTACTTTACTATTACTAAGTATTAACTTTAGTTACTTATTAGCAAAAAATACTACTATTAGATATTTAACTATAATACTTTAATTACTCTTATTTAATAAATTAACCTTAATACTTACTGAATAGTAATAATGTTCTTTAAAGCTACCTTAACTTTATCTTTTAATAGATCTAAAAGAAAAGTAGTTATATCCCTTAAACCTATAAGCTTAGACTAAGAAATAAAGAGTACTAAATCCTTTAATAATAAGAATAATAATACTAAAATAGCTAAATAACTTAAAAAGGCCTATAAGGATATTATAAATATATAATAGATATTTAATAATAATATAATACTTTTTAATTAACTTTAGGCTAAGGTCTAGTAAACTAATAACCTTAAAAAGAAAGTTTATATTCTTTAAGTTACTACTAATATTATTTTAACCTTAGTAGATAAATAAAAGAAACTTAAGCTTAACTCTTTTACTACCTATAATAAGACCTTTAGAACGCTTAAAGGATTCTTAATATAGGTTAAGACCTATTAGACGTTTTACTTTAGTAACTTCTATATAGAAATAAAGAGAATTATTTATATAAGTACTTTTTTAAAGAATAAGTCTTTTCTTAGTTTAAACTTTACTTAGAAGACTACTTAGATAGTAAAACGCTAAAATACTATAACTTAAAGACTTAGTAAATCTTTAGGAGCTTTATAGGATTTAAGTATACCTTAAAATTCTTATTTTAGGACTTAAATAAAAAGTAATAAGCTAAATAAGATTTATTAAACCTTAAGTAAACTAAGTTAACTACTAATTATATTATAGAATTTTAAAGAATCTATATATAACTTAATTATACTAATAATACTAAGATATTTATGTTTTACTAAGGACTTAAGAAAACATAAAAGATAAGTTATTTAAGCTTAATTAACTTAATAACTTTTTATAATATATAAAAGTTATAATTAGAATTAATACTAGGCTATATAAATAGTAAAAGAAGAAAAAGAAGTATATTGCTTTTAGCTAAATACTAGTAAAAAGTATATATTATAAGGACTTAAGAACTTATAACTTAACTTATATTAGTAGAATAACTAATAATATAATAAGCTAAGTACTTCTTATAAGTAATATAGTAGACTTATAAACGTTAATACTATAACTAAAAAGCCTTATTAGAACTACTAAGATCTAAAGGACTTTAAATACTATAACTATAAGAAGCCTAGCTATATAGCTAAAGACTATAAATAGCTTAAATAACTTTAGAATTAACTTATACTTAAAGGTACTAAAAAAGCTAATATAATAAAAAAAAACTTCT